TAGTATTATGAATGCGCACAATCGACGTCACGAGGATGGCCTCTTCCCCTATTTGGACCCGCGCGCCGGGGCTTTGTTGATACCAGCAGTGGCCCGGTGGGTAGTCAACGAATGGGCGACGGGAAGCGGATAGGAAGTTGTGACATCCAGAAAAGGGTGGGGGGGCCAAAAAAAGATGAGGAGGAGGGAGGGTGGAGGTGACGAGGGAGGTGAACTAAAATGGGGGGCCCCAGAAAACGACCCTTGGGGTGAGAATAAAAAGGAGAGGGAAAGGGGGCCCATGGTGGGGCTAGGCAAAAGGAAGGGGAGTAAGGGGAAACGACAAAAGCGAGGGCGCAATGCAATGTGTAGCCCAGTGGCGGCCGTGAAAATTTGCCGAAATCCCGAAATGCCCGAAAGTACCGGATGGAAAAAGCAAAGGTGAGCGTGACTGGATTGCCTAATAGAGGTGGTGCTGATCAGCCACAAGTTCAAAAAGGGCAATATTAATTACTATTCCACGTGGCACTGTGCCTGTGTGGCGCAAAGGCGAGTCTTTTTGAATATTCGCTTCGTTATTGACACCTGTCCATACTACCAATCAACTTTGGTGCATGACAACGTATTGGTAAGGGATGTCGTTTGGTGACGGGATTCATTAGCCAAGATGGCGCTGACTCACACCCTTCTTCGCTTATCAATATTCCTCCGAAGTATTCCCAGACATAGCACTGGATCGTGGCTATGTCATCTGGATATCTTCTCGAGGGTCGACAACAAGTCTACGTCGTTGTAGGTACGATAGAACGTGAGTGTGAAGAGAGAATAAGAAGGAAAATGATAAAAGTAATAAGACACCTGCTGTAATCTCTAGTCCAAGGGCAAGAGGAGTGACGGGGATCGAGTCTGCTAACCACAACATGATGGGAATGTGATAAGAAAAATTGATTCCTCACAATACATACCACCCCACGAACAACCAGAGCACCCACTGTTCTAGGAGGCAAAGCCCATAAACAAGTTCCATGGAATCTGGGAGGATTGTGTGTTAGTTTGTTTTTGTGTGTGGTTTTCTAACAACAGTTCTCATCATCAACAACGACCAAGAGTTTCTTACTGTGGCGCACAACTTGGACAAGCAAAGAGAAGAGAGAAAGAGGGATCACCCCTCAGGTTTCAACGGGTTTGTTGTGCTAGACAACAGGAGGACTCGCTGAGTCCTTCCCCATGTATTGCTCCTGTATATATACTAAAATACATGAGGTACTCTACAGTTGTAAATAAAGTTTAAAGTCCGATGTCTGGCATGTGACCGGTCACATGGTGAGCCTAGACACTGGTCAGGTGTTGTGTCACATGACTTGGTCATGTGACTATGAAAAAGTCGAAAATGTAAAGTAAAGTAAATGGTCACATGATTGGTCATGTGACTTGGAAAAATAAAAGTAAAAGTACAAAAAAGGTGAAAGTGTAAGTAGGTACTGGTACATCAATTGTAACAGTATGGTGTAAAATAACCAAACTGTCATCAACTGTCTGTTCGGATGGGGGGGGCTATTTGGACATTTCTGAAAATATACATTCCACTGTCATTTTCCCTCAACAACTTAATTTATTGTAGCAGTACCTGGTGCCAGTCCCCAACTTGCTAAATCATGAAAACTGTTGTGCCCAATGTAGTGTCAGTGACCAGTAGGGTCACATGATGTTACGATAACACAATTTTTGGACCTTTAATTTTCATTCTCCTTTTTAACCTTTTTCTGTAGTTTTCACACACTGTGCCATGCGGCACTCTCCCTTTTGTTCAAACTCCTCTTTCTCACACTACACTGCCTTTTCCTTATTTTCAGATACAACTCTCTCACACAGTGGAGCTGGTCACATGGGCTGTGCCCCATGACATCATCAGCCACTGCCTCCATCAACTGTACAGTACACATGTACAAACAACCCTGTAGTAGTATATATACCCTAATAGATCAAGGAGACTCCTCAGCGAGGTCCTCCTGTTGTATACCCACAACTAACTCGGTCCTACCTAAGGGGTAACCACTCCCTCATCACTACCTTTATAGTCTGTTCTAGTTGTGCACCAGAGTAACTAACTCTTGGTTGTTACACATGATGTGGGACAAAAATGTTGAGCAATTGACAGAAAGGTGGCTGTTTGTGCGCAATAAGGCACTACATAGTTCTTAACAATGTGTTTGTTGTGCATACACACCAAGCATAACTGACTTTTATCACACCCAAAATTGATGAAAAAGCCTGAAGGTGGTTAAGATATTTGATTGTATCTTGGACCTACAAGATTTTGTCAGAATACTGTATTTTTGTTGAAATAATTTTATATTTCCACACAAAACATAGTATCAATGGAAATATGTGAACAAAAATACAGTATTCTGACAAAATCTTGTATGTCCAAAAATACAATCAAATATTCCAACCACTTCCAGGCTTCTTCATCAATTTTGGGTGTGACAAAACTTGGTTATGCTTGGTGTGCATGTAAATGTAACCAGCTGTACATTCAACCAGTCAGATCCAACAGAAACTCAAGGTCCAGGTCTGCCCCAGAGGGCAATGTTATCACCTGCTGTATACATTATTCTGGTATACCATGTATCTGGTATCTGCCGATTTTCCACACTTCGATTGTGGCCTCTTATGTAAGCGAGGCAGTTCTGGAGACCATGGTAACTTTACTGAAGTAGCGTCTTCGACCTCCTCCCCTTGATACCTCATTTTCATTGCCAGTCCTTACGGGAAGATCTAATGGACAACAGCCTGCTTGGCAATGCTGACCGACAACCCTTTCCTAAGAATGCACGAAAATGGTGGAACATTGGTGAGACCATGCACAAAGGACGGTCAAGAGACGGGAAACGTTTTAGGAACTTCAAGATAGGATCAATACAATATACCATACTATATCAACATCCTCCATTATCAATCGTCGGTGTATCTTCATAATCACCTGCCTATTCCCAGCTGATTTAAAATGAAGCTCTTTGCACTGCTTATCTTCACCGTTTTCGCCATAACGTTGACTCTGTCATTAAAGTACATATTGAATCCCGATAGAGAGCCTTTGCCATGGCAAGCTTATTGCTCGATCCCTTCTTCAACGACTACTCCTCCAATGTATCGCTCAGCGTCACCATACCCGTATCTGGATCTAAGTTCGAACGCGTCGTCCGTATTTCTCCCTCATGACCTGGACTGTCTACCTCCAACAGGCATATTTTTAGGCGTGTTCTCCATGGACACTTCCTTTGAGCGAAGGATGCTCATACGTACTACATGGGCCAGTCATCCACGAAGTCGCAACGGTGCGGGCGATGGAGACCAAGGTTTAGGCACCTCCCGGACTGTGGTTCGCTTTATTATCGGTAGGCCTCGTAAAGACTGGGAGCGAAGGATTCAGACAGAAATAGAGCGTGAGTAGACTACATCATTCGGGCGGTTTCCTTTTGGATCAAAATGACACTATTCTGTGCAGTGTACCATGATATCGTTATCCTCCCCATTACAGAGAACATGAACTCTGGAAAAACTCATTCATACTTTACATGGGCGGCTTCTAGTGCCTGGGTTCCTCCCAACTACTTTAATAGGACTGTCTCTCGCCAATTCTCGTACTCCAATGCCACATCTCCCGAGCCCCTCCTAGCCCATCACGATCCCGCTGCAGCTTGGGAGCATCGCTCCTCTGGCCAATCAAAACCATGGGTGCGGCCAGATTATGTAGCGAAGGTCGACGACGACGCATTTGTTATGCTTGCCGAGCTTGAATCGCGCCTTCGGCTTGAGCTTTATTCTGAAACTCAAAAGCCATATGGGGCCAAAGGTTTAGAGGCTGGAGTGAATGTGACTGCTATACCTACACACTCTTCTTCAGATGGCATCATCGGAGATGCCTTGTCACATACAGGATGCTCCCCACTCTCTGCTCAGTCTCGAGACCCTTTAGTCTATTGGGGTTACTTGGTAAAAGAACGGTTTATGGCAGGGGAACTATATGCCCTCACCTGGAGTTTGACTGAATGGGTATCAGTTACCCCGGCTGTCAAAGCACTGAGCAAGGGCGCAGAAGACAAACAAACTGCAAAATGGATGGCCCTCCATCCGCGTTCAAATGAAATTCGATGGTCGAGCGAGCGCTGTTGGATATACGATCATCCTCGTTCGGGTACTGTGTAAGACGAGCATTGTTTAGCATTGAAAATTTTACAATTTTTTGAATTATTCATTTCTTCTCCTACAGGTACTCCCATGGCTTTTTGTTCCCTTCTGAGGTTACACGTATCCGTCAACGGGTATTGTCTTATATTGCTGGCGCAAGTTCCACATTGCCACTCAATGTGCCGATACCAACGGAATGGTCTCTGTCGAGCGTTTCGACTTTTGGCGTGCGATATTCTCCTCCACTCTCAGACATGTCATTGTTAGAAAGTGTTGAGGCCCTTGTTGAAGGAAGCCACATGTCCAGAATACGAGAAGGTATGAATTTTCTTGGATAGAGCAGAAAACATTCTGACGCCATGACATAGATAGCACCACGGAAGCCGAAATTGCCTGGAGTCGTCGGGAGAGTCGAAACATACGATACGAAAATAAACGTGTGGGCGGTACGGTTGTCGTACATTTCGTCAAGAAGCATATGTGGTTCTTGGAGACAGCTCTGGCTATGTTGGATGACGAAAATTACTCTGACAAATAGACTGAATGTTGGCTAAAGAAAGCTACCTTAATGTCGGCATAGACGAATCCTCAGGCCAGTCCGATTGCACAGCCCCAGCTATTCCCATATTAGAATGAACTCCTACTAGTAGGTTGGGGCGCGCTGATAAGAAAAGGCAATGCTTGAATGCTGCAATGCTGCCAACCCATGATGTGACTGAGTCATCGGGCATGGCGGTCACTTAGAGCCCTTCACTCGAGAATGCTGGATTTTCCTTCATGGGTAGATACTACTCATTTCATATACACTCTCATCGTAGCCATAGAACACGCAAATCGATCTTATAGCGTTAGATTTTGCGCCCATCAAGTCAGGGGTACTTGTTGCGTGGCTAACGGCTCGCAGGTATCGGTGGTATGATTGGGGGGAAATAAATGTTAAACATTATAGAGATTCCCGGTTTCGGGGCGGTCTGAAGATGGATTAACCGATAAAAATACGTAAGGTCACGATATAGGAAACTAAAAATATCAGATGAAAGTAGATTTGAACAAAGACTGACGTGTTTGATCATAGCTAGAGAGATTTTTGAACATTGCGTACATGCGAATGAATTTATCCTACACTCTGTTCTTCAATAAGCTTTGATACGCAACGTCACCTTACTGGAGCTTAGACACGCAGAATTTCATCATTAGAAATTGAAGAGGAAGTGGGTGGTGATGACCTACCCTGCCAGTGCTCATACAGATGAGTGATTAACAGCATCAGTTAAGGGGCACGTACTTGAACAAGAATTTAGTTTGTGACGAATTTCGTGCGTTTGCGCAATTTGGGCCTTCGAATTCAGAGGTGGTAACCAATGGAATGGAAATAAGGGGTAGCAACTCCGTTGATCGTCCAGCTCAGGGATCAGAAGAGCGTATGTGGAAAGTATAAATTTGGAAAAGGAGCATTGCCCCCCCACAGGGGTCGAAACCCTATTTACAATCAGTTGAATGGGTCAATAATCCAATACCTCACTACCTTCCTTAGTATACAAGGATATCATCCAACAGGTAAAATATGTAAGACATACCATACACCACTTCCAATTACTACGACGTGATTGTTATGCTCCCTCAGCGACTAGCACGACCCTATACCTAATCTCCCCTTTATGAAGCTTCTGCATTGCTTCCTCGATGCCTTCAATGTTCAAGGGGAATACTTGGTTGATAGGTTTGATGTTGTGAAATGCAGCAAAGTTCAGCATCTTGATGTGCGCGCCCCGTGAAGCGGACATACAGCCTTGTATGGTCAACCCATTCATCAAGAGCGGCATATAGGGTACAGTGAGATCTTTCAGTGATATCGATAGCGGGTATATAGCGGCTCTGGGCGCCAGCACGGGTAGATATCTAATTATATGCGCAACGCTTATGATCAGCACTATACTAGCGGCTCATTGAATACACGTACAATGACCAGTCTGGCTGTTCACTTGTAGTAACAATAAGATGCTTCAATTTTGGCCCGATGTAAAGCGTCTTGGTGTCCTTAGTCGGGTAGAACTCTGTGGCTCCCAGATCCATCGCCTCCTTCCTCTTATTCTCCGTGCTAGAGAAGACCACTACCTGGCATCCCATCTTGGCTGCGAATTGGATTGCAAGGTGCCCAAGGCCACCGATGCCGACAATACCGATGCGGTCAGTTGGAGATACACTATGAAGATGGAAGACATTATAGACGGTTGACCCAGCGCACATAAGGGGGGCTGCATCCGCTGATGACATAGATTCTGGAATATGGAAGAGGGATTTGGCAGGCCACACCGCGTGTGTAGAAAAAGAGCCCTGGTCTAATGATGCGCTACCAAATATTTGTCGGTCGGGACAGTACATTTCGTGACTACCGAGGCACTCGTCACAGTATCCGCAGGAACCATGTTCGTATCCCCAGCCAACGCGGTCGCCCCTGTAATTACACGAATGAGTGGTCTGGTCAGCATATAGCTAAGAGAATAACTCACACTTTCATCGATTTCACGTCGGTACCGATCTCTTGAACCAAGCCTACACCTTCATGGCCAAGGGCCACATCGAACGTCCTGTAATGCAAGTCCGTACCGCATAAACCTGAGTGGGTTACTCTCACGAGAACGTCGTCAGGTTTAAGACTATCTCGATGAGTGGTTGCTTTGACAATACGACCATCTTCCGAGCCTTTGTAGACAGTGAAGTCGAGTCCCATGGTTTTGTCGGTGCTCACGTTAAGAAATGGGAAATGGTAGACGAGAAGGAACGATAGAGTATATATAGTCCCGGACCCTGCCCCAGTATCATTTGACGATAGAGCTAAGCCATGATGTTGAAGCATAAACGCCCAGTGGAAGGCCCATGACCTCTCTGCTAAGTTTCACCTTTCCCCTTCAATCTTCAGATGATTGTAGAAAGGAACTCGGAAAAGAGTTGGTCGGCATCAATCGTGATCACCGCACCGAGCTCACCGGGTGCATCATCACGTGGCCTTCTGTCCGCGTCATGGCTTTGCCAGCGCTCTTGCCCGGAATATAGTTGATGATCTTCTTATCAGTGTCATGACAAATAGTACAACTTGATTATTTTGACAACACTTGCAACAACATGAAATAAATACGTATTGCGAAGTCAATCCACGATAGCAACATTCTCTCAAGGGCAGAAAGTGACGGTGTAAGAGGCAGCCTTGCCAGCATCGCAAGTCCAGAGAGCAGTGCCGCTCGCCTCGTCGTAAGCATAGCAGTACGAGTTGGGGCAGGCGTTCTCTGACGTGATGAAAAAAAGAAAATGTAAGCACATATCTTTGTACACGTGGAAAGATACGCACTGAAGTAAGAGTAGTCAGTAACTCCGGAAGAGGGGCAAGTAGCCTGGGTGGCATGAGAACCGCTGCAGCAGTTGGCAGAGTCGGCTGGTTAGGAGTCCAGTCACGCATCAGCCGTGTGAATTATAAGGACTGGGTGAAATCAACATACTGGGGTTGCCGTCAAGGTTGGCGAAGCAAGCACTCTTGCATCCCTCGTTGCCAGAGGCTCCAGAAGGTCCTTGGAGCTCAGCAGGGCCTATATGTCCACGCAAAGAAAAGAAAAACGCGTTCAGCAAAAGCAAAAGCTAGATCCAGAGAAACACATGTACTTACAGTTGGCGTTCAAGTCAACTGGGCAGTCAGCAGTGCTGCATCCCTGGTCGTTGGTGATGGCAACGGGGATGTTGAAACCATCGACTAGGGAAACGTCGTAGAAGTCCTGGTTTCCGCTGGCGGCCAAGGTGAACTCGGCGAGGGTAGCGGGGGGAGTTCCCTGTGTCAATTCAATTCGTTAAAGAGTGTGTGGTGGAGAGAACAGGGGAGTGAAGGCTTACGGGTTGAGTGCAGACGATACCACCAGCACAGTTACCAGTGACACAGGTGCCGCTGGCGTCGCAGTCACGGCGACCCTAAGATGAACTGATTAGTGACTTTGGGCCAGTGAGGATGGTATATGGACATACCCAGATTCGTCCAGCAGTCCAGTTGTCGGGAACCTGCAAAGTAAGATCACGGTGAGTGAATAACGATGAGCATTGGCAGGAAACATCAGCGCACATCGAAGGTGACGGTGTCACCAGTGTTCGCCTGCCAGCTATAGAAGTTCATCAGTTTCGAATGAATGTCCTCAAAAAGAGGAATAGCGTACCCAGTGGTTTGGCTGGGCGCAGTTCCGGAGCCAGTGTAGATCTAACGAAAATAAGTAACGAGGACTTCATTACAGGGAGTCTGGAGACATACAGCAGGCCTGTCACATAAGTGTAAGTGAACTGGATACGACGATAAGAAATAAAAACAACTCACCAGACGGTGTATGAGCACTTGTTAGTGACCGTAATGGAACGGGCCGAAGCACCAGCAACGAGAGCGAGGGAAGAGGCGGCGAGAGCGAACTTCATGTTTGTGATAGACAAGCTGGATATAATTCAGGAGTGCAAGATGTAGAACATATGTCCCACTAGTGAGCTTTATATGTCCAGCAAGCTAACTTCCTGGGGGTGCGCGTTCATCATATGACAGACTTGGTAACGAGTTGACTTCGTAGCGAGAGAAAAGTGCTGTGGAGTGATATTGATCTATGACATAAGTGCAGCGCCGTTGTGGGGTAAAACTTTCGCGTCTGGCACGAGGGTACTGGACAGCCAAGAGTACTCGACTTGCCAGGAATGTCGAATGCTTCAAGTTCGCAAGAGTCTTTGTCCTGTTTCAAAGCTTCCTAGTTCCTGTTCCAACATTGAATCCAGAAGAAACGCTGTAGACTAGATTACGAAGGGCTCATAAAAAGCCTGAGGTAGTAATAAACTGAGAGTACAGATAGGACCATTAGCTGCCGCGGCGTGAACTTGAAGCGCTACCAAATTAGGTAACCGTGGGATCGCCTACGACCAGCACAGCATCAAATCATGGCAGGATCCGGTAACTTGCTCTGTACACCCATGATTCTCATTTTGAGTTCGAAGTCATTCTTTTTTACATGGCCACGACTTGGATTTGCGTTTCGTCAAGGCTGACCCAATTGATTGTATATGGAAAACAACACTAATTGGTTTGTGCTCCCATGTCAAGTCAAATCTCGTAGCAGATTGAGAGCCGAAACATTTACCTCAGCATCAGCTCTATTAACTGGGTCGGAATAGCGGCTGTAGAGAAAACTATTGCTTGGCCGCACCGACGAAAGACACGCGGAAAGATCCTAAGCCAAAACGACAAAACATCATCGCATGCTTGCTCTTTTTGTTCCTGATTTAAACGACGAGGAAGTTGACTTTTATGGAAATTAGAATCCTTCGTCTAATTTGTGCGGCTCCAAATACACGTTGCGTCTAGTTCCTTGGCAGATCCTTTCACATTTCTCGGTCGCGGATACGAACGGACCCTCTGATACTACTACATATGGTCTGACCAAGTTTTGAACATTCTTCGCCAAACTCTGCGCTATCTTGGCTTGGCTGCTGTTGTACCCTCGTGCTATGAGAAAGAACCCCGCAACGACTGCTACACTGATGTCATAATTGCTTTGCTCAGGCAACGAATCAATCTGTCGTATCACGGCCGCTATGTTACTGCAAGGAATCATGCTGTTGGGTATATAAAGCTCACTAGTGGGACATATGTTCTACATCTTGCACTCCTGAATTATATCCAGCTTGTCTATCACAAACATGAAGTTCGCTCTCGCCGCCTCTTCCCTCGCTCTCGTTGCTGGTGCTTCGGCCCGTTCCATTACGGTCACTAACAAGTGCTCATACACCGTCTGGTGAGTTGTTTTTATTTCTTATCGTCGTATCCAGTTCACTTACACTTATGTGACAGGCCTGCTGTATGTCTCCAGACTCCCTGTAATGAAGTCCTCGTTACTTATTTTCGTTAGATCTACACTGGCTCCGGAACTGCGCCCAGCCAAACCACTGGGTACGCTATTCCTCTTTTTAAGGACATTCATTCGAAACTGATGAACTTCTATAGCTGGCAGGCGAACACTGGTGACACCGTCACCTTCGATGTGCGCTGATGTTTCCTGCCAATGCTCATCGTTATTCACTCACCGTGATCTTACTTTGCAGGTTCCCGACAACTGGACTGCTGGACGAATCTGGGTATGTCCATATACCATCCTCACTGGCCCAAAGTCACTAATCAGTTCATCTTAGGGTCGCCGTGACTGCGACGCCAGCGGCACCTGTGTCACTGGTAACTGTGCTGGTGGTATCGTCTGCACTCAACCCGTAAGCCTTCACTCCCCTGTTCTCTCCACCACACACTCTTTAACGAATTGAATTGACACAGGGAACTCCCCCCGCTACCCTCGCCGAGTTCACCTTGGCCGCCAGCGGAAACCAGGACTTCTACGACGTTTCCCTAGTCGATGGTTTCAACATCCCCGTTGCCATCACCAACGACCAGGGATGCAGCACTGCTGACTGCCCAGTTGACTTGAACGCCAACTGTAAGTACATGTGTTTCTCTGGATCTAGCTTTTGCTTTTGCTGAACGCGTTTTTCTTTTCTTTGCGTGGACATATAGGCCCTGCTGAGCTCCAAGGACCTTCTGGAGCCTCTGGCAACGAGGGATGCAAGAGTGCTTGCTTCGCCAACCTTGACGGCAACCCCAGTATGTTGATTTCACCCAGTCCTTATTATTCACTCGGCTGATGCGTGACTGGACTCCTAACCAGCCGACTCTGCCAACTGCTGCAGCGGTTCTCATGCCACCCAGGCTACTTGCCCCTCTTCCGGAGTTACTGACTACTCTTACTTCAGTGCGTATCTTTCCACGTGTACAAAGATATGTGCTTACATTTTCTTTTCTTCATGACGTCAGAGAACGCCTGCCCCAACTCGTACTGCTATGCTTACGACGAGGCGAGCGGCACTGCTCTCTGGACTTGCGATGCTGGCAAGGCTGCCTCTTACACCGTCACTTTCTGCCCTTGAGAGAGTGTTGCCGTTGTGGATTGACTTCGCAATACGTATTTATTTCATGTTGTTGCAAGTGTTGTCAAAATAATCAAGTTGTTGTATATTTCATGATTCGACAGTGTGATACCTTCTGTGAAATGCCCGTCAGTATATAGCATGACTCTTGTGTTTCCTAGCTTGATTGTCACAGCGACATCACTGGGATGAGATATATGTATTACTCTAGCTTCATGTGCGACAGGAGGGCTAAATCTTAACGCCAACTGTCTTCATCTCAGAGCTGTGATAGTGGAAACAGAAGGCGTAATCATGCATCAAACAGCTCACCCGCGTATCCCACAGACCAGCCAACGAAGTTGATAATCGAAAAAAGAAGTACCATAATGCAGTCTTATGTCTTTAGTCTACGTACTTCAAATTTCCACACTACTCTCCCCTAGTGCGCAAAACCCAACTCCCCGTAAATTCCATCGAAAGTCCGTCATCTGCACTGCACCACTCTCATCACTTGCACGGCTCCGTATTGTTTCGAGCCCCCTCTTTCAAAATCAACATCACTAACGTCTCTATCCACATTAACATCTCCTTCCCATAGCGCCCAACTCCATCTTCCTTCTTGGTACGTAATTCGCGTTGGTACCCATGTCTTTCCTTCATCTGCAGTGATATCAACCTGTGTGATGCGCTCACTAGACACAGCATAGCCTGTTGCTTTTACCAGGACTGTGTTATCCCGACTTAACCCGGGAAGAGTGATATCTTCGACCTTTGCTATAACTGAGTTGAGGGCTACGGCCTGCATAGCAGGTACACGGCTCCACCAGTCCTGACTGTCAGCCATGTCCTGAGATGTAACCTGGAGAAACTTGCATGTAAGCTTCGTATTCACTGATTATTTGTTCGCATGGAACAAGGACACGCATGATGTACATGCTCATGGAATGTACAATTACTCACGTTATCTGGTAGTACTTTGTAGTCCCGTCTCTGGTAGAAGCAGGGAGATTCATCATGTGAGATAGTCAGACTGTCGACCGTCTTCACCCAACGAGCGCCAGAGAAGCCAGGGACAACCACGCGTAGTGGAAAGCCATGCTCAGGTGTTAAAGATTCGCCGTTCATCTTTACAGGTGATACTGCAGGTTTATTAAAATCATAAAAGTACAGGACTCAAAAGCTCACCTCATACGCAAGTATCACGTCCCCTTTCTCGTCCATAGCTTTTGCTAGTGGGATAGAAGCCCCGAAATAAGAATCCTGTTCGCATGCAACAGCATGCGACGCAAAGCAGACATGCTTATTTTCCCACTTATCTATCTCAGTCGAGACACCACTAAAGATCAAAAGGTCGCACAGTGATAGGCCTGCCCATCTGACGTTAGAAATTGTAGCTTCACTCCACATGAGCCCTTCAGGATCCCTCTGAGTCTTCTCTGCCATTTTCGCACGGCGATTACCTGCACACTACAAGACGAGAATACATGAGCATACACTTGAACGCGGGTGGAAAGATGGGCTTGCGTTCAACGCAGCTACCACTTCTTTCCGCGGGAAGGAAAGAATCGTGTCTTTTAGATTGAATTCGTTTTCCTCGACGTGTTCACCGTCGATTTTGAGTTTATATGTATCGATGTTTGGTTCTCTCTCGTTTTCGACGTGAACTGTCAGAGCTGTGGTAAATAGTTCGAGTGATCAATTATAGGTGGTAGTGCGTTGGATGAACCTAATGCTTACCGTGATTTCGAGCATATATTAGTGGTATAGGTGTAATTGGATACTGAATGAGCTCTGCAATATCGGGCGGCTCCGCATTGTAAGGGCTTTCGCTGAGCACCCTAAGATCACCTTTATGCAAAACCATAGTTTAATCTTTGGTTTTCTTTGCTTGGGATGTCGTTTAGTTAGGTTTCCTTGAATGTACTTTTGAGCGAAACCAGCTGAATATGTGATAACACCAAGCTTCTGGGAACAAAGGCGCCCTAGTGGTCTGACCGTGCTTTACCAGCTGAGCTTTCATATCAGAGACTTTATAAAGGGGAGAACCACTGACGTCGATATAACATAACGTCATGATCACGTGCCTACAAATACAACACTTGCCTAAAACAGAACACCAAATCAATGATCGAGGAAAACAAAACAGGAAAGCGTGAAAAACAGATAGCCAGGGGGAAAGGAACGTTACAAAAAAAAAAGAAAGTCCCGAAAATGGCCTTTCAAATCAGTAACCAAGAAAAAAGGAATGACGACAGTTACGCATGGTATCTCCTGCTACCTGCTGGATTGCTGTGATGACGGCCCCGTTCATGTTCACGATCGTGGTTACGATCACGTCTAACGATATTACTGTTTCTCAGAAAAATCATAAAAAAAACAAGCAGTGATCTTACCGATAATGAGAGCGATCGTAGTTAGAAGATGACTCTGTGTTAGAAGAGTGGGTCGAATGATGCGAGTGATGAGAAGTGTATGATCGCGGCGATTTACTGGCGTAGTCTTCACGGTGCCCACTAATTATTTCCGAGCTATAACGCCCACTATACCCACTACGACTCGGAGCAGAATGGCGGTCGGAGGATGAACCAGAGCCAGAACGGGAACGATTGTCCCGGGGCGAATATGTATGACTTCCACCCGATAAAAAAGTTCAGGGATTTATATCAGCTTCAGTTCATGAATTCAGTAACAGACTTCAAATACCTTCGCGATCGGTTCTTGCACTGGCAAGGGTTGAACACTAAAAGGTGTCCCTCAATATCACGGCATGTGCTGTGATGAGAACATCTGTTGGATTCATCGATTTTTCCATGACTACATAACATGCTTTAGCATCCTTAGTAACTTGAGGAAAAGATCCATGGTCACCGGTAGATTTCGCGGCCATGCTTGTCTTGAACAACGAATGGAGCTGATGGAGAGGGCCGCCTTCCACTAAAATCACCTACCCTAAAAAAGATGAACCATTTGAGTAGACAGCCGGTATCTATGTAAATTGCCCATGCCTGGTTATCTCGTTCCCGTTCTCATCTTGGAATATGACATTCATTCCTCCAGGTACAATATAGTACATGGAGCTACTAGTGGTACTGGGTATAGCAATTACACGTTGCTGCTCGTATTCTTCGCGAACATATTGATATGGCTCATGTGAGGGCTTGATCTACGGGCATGGTGAACTCCACAAACGTACATAAAGAGTTAAAAATGACAAACCTCTTCATTTACGGAATTCGTAAAAACAACCGTGGGCTCTCTCGTATAGGGTACTGGCTGAGGCGCGTAGTTCATCCGCCGGGGACGATTGATATTGGATGAGTTCTAAGACAAGTAAAAATATATTAATTAAAATAAGTAATAATTATTACAATCTACGTCCTTACCATTCTATCTAAACGAGCGGGGGCTCGTGGTTTTCCATAACCTGTGGGTTCATTACTCACAGATGTATCCGACTCTGTCGTGCTCAGCACTATGACGTCTTCCTCCGTGTATCGCCTTGCTTTTTCGTGTGGGCGTGGGGCTGAGGGAGTGTACCGACTGGGAATTCGTTGAGGAGGTAGCGATTTTTTGCGTGCCAAACCGCCTGGCGCTATCACGTTTAGCCCGAATGGTGAGTTTTCATCGTCCTGACGATGAACATTGGGGATAACCCCCGACATCACTGATGAAGGGCTATCGACATGAATGAAGCTGCCGTCGTCTTCCTCGTCGTCATCTATGATAGGCCTGCGGGGGGAGTCAGATGGAAGTGCCTGTTTGATTCGTCTAATCAGCATGGATTTCATTTGCCACGGGTAGAACAGCCTTACAATTTCGATTGGCGGTGGTAGAAACTATAGTAAAGTATTAGTGAGATACATTCAAATTTATTGAGGAACTCGAGACCTTGTCATTGTTGTCTGATAACTCTGCTTCCAGAGGTCGTACTGCTTGGTAACCATACATTGAGTCTCGCAGACTATCGTGGAAGTGATCGTTAAAGCGATCACTGAACCCGTCGTCGAGGTCATTCAGGCGACTAAGCTGTTCACGGCGTCTACGATCTATAGAAGACTGTCTACCTTGGAACATCTTCAATAGATTGAAGCGCATGCTGACGAGCGAGCGGGAGACGTTGAACCTGTGCACATGCCTCGTGTAGTCGATGTGGGATAGGTTTTATACTTAACCACCACGAGGAAATCGTGCGGGAATCATCTTTAGGCAGCTGACATGAGGATCTTCTCTTCTGATGACATGAGTTGCCATAATAGCTTATCTTGTCGAAGTAATGCGGCCTCCGCACGTTATTGGATGATATCCTCGGAAAAGAACATTCTACACACTACTATTACATAGTCAGCGATCAGCATCTAGTTGGTCGTTTGGAACGGAGAACGACATAACAGATAATTCGAGAAAAATATTCCTCGTCTCGCCTTCAATATACCCAGCAGCCCAACCCATGAATTTATAGAGAAATCACTATTCGCTAGCAGCGTGTTACAAACACATTGCCCGTCCCATTCCACGCAACACCTATAACCTCGTTGAACTGCACCTATATTTCCACTTGCCTTTCCCCGACAGCACAGAATCCAACGCCTCGCAGATTCCACGCACACTCCGTGACCTGGACGTCCCCGCTCTCGTCCTGAGCACGACTCCATACCGTTACCACACGTTTCGTCGCTACCCCGTTCTCGGTATTATGACCATTCTCTCCGTTGATCCCATTGATACCGTTGGCAGTATTGCTGGCTGAGACAGCGATATCTCCTTCCCATAATGACCAGCTCCATTTTCCCTCCTGGTAAGTAATTTGTGCTGGTACCCAGTTCTTCCCTGAGTCAGCACTAATATCCACCTTGGTGATGCGTGTGCCAGATAGGGCGTAACCCGTTGCTCTGAGCACAATTCTACCAACATCAGGAGTAACATGCCCATGCGTATAAGGGCTAACGTTGGTGATGTTGGTGATAACACTTGGCACACGCTGAACGGTGGCAACAACCGAGTTGAGAGCAATGGCTTGAATAGCTGGAACGCGACTCCACCAGTCTTGAGCATCAGCCATGTCATGAGAAATCACCTATTCATAAACGTTATACAACTTCGCTAACCGAAGGGTGAGAATACGTACTGTATCAGGTAGTACTTTGTAATCTCGTTGCTGATAAAAGTTGGGCGATTCATTCCGCGAGACAGTGATACGATCAATCCATTTCACCCAGCGTGCGCCTGAGAAACCTGGGACGACAATGCGCAAAGGAAATCCATGTTCCGGGGTGAGCGGTTCGTCGTTCATCTGTGGTAGGCCTCAGCATTAATAGGGGGGACAAAAGAGTGACGAGGCAGAAGAGGTGCAACAATGATTCACCTCGTATGCAAGTAGTACATCACCTCCTTCATCCATGACTTTCTCAATTGGAATCGACACACCATAGTACGTGTCCTGCTCGCATGGCGCTATGTGAGATGCAAGACAAACGTGCAGGTCATCGCAGTTGGTCGGAATTCCTGCGTATAAAAGAACGTCGCGGAGCAAAACACCACCCCATTTTACATTCGAGACTGCTCCTTCATTCCATTTCAGTCCCTTCACGTCTCGTTGTGTCTTTTCAGCCATCTGTGCCCTTCGGTTCCCTGCACACTAAAATGCGGTGTTAGAGCGGACTCGCAGATTTATAGCTGAGGGAGCTGGTAAAGAGATAACTACACGTACCTGGAGCGCAGCTACAACTTCCTTGCGTGAAAACTGGTTTACAAGGTCTTGGAAGGATATGCTTAAATCCCTGTCAACCTCTCCATCAATCGTGATGTTGAACGCTGGTTCCTTCACCCCCGCGTCTGCTTTAACATCCTTGATATCCGCTATTTTGACCATAACATTAGTAAATCCACTGGGTCAGCAAACTATCTTGGTTGGAACAAGCTGCATGGACATACAATGGTTGCGCTTGTAGATAAGGCGACGAGGTGTTATGGGATATTGCAAGAGTTCAGCGACATCAGGGGGTTCTGCATTGAGTGGGCTCTCGCTAAGAACACGAAGCGTCTGTTTACAAGTCAAAAAGAGGTTGTTGCCGAGGTTGCAATATTCTGACATTTCTGCAGTCGTATGGCGTGCTACTGAGCACGCAATACTGTCGCAATTTGTTCTCGCGCGTACCAGCGGACTTTCAATTCTTCTTAAGTACGAGTACAATGTAACTGTTGCTCAGGCTTGCTTTCAAGGTCTGTGACACTTAGAAAGACTGACAGAATTCGAAGCCACAGCCGTCCAGCGACAGGATTTACATCGTGTCCCGTAAAGTTATCCACATACTACTACGTTTGAAACAACTGAAGAAGCACCTCGCTATTGACAGCCAACTGCAGTCGTTCTATCAGTCTAAGTGTTACGTTCATACAGAGATGACATATGATACCATCCTTAAAGGTCTATCATACGCACTCGTCGCTTTGACCTAGGAACACAACGTCCAGATGCGAATATCACTACTTAACTCTGAATCCAGCTCATAATGTCTCAGCCCGCCACCAAGTTCTAACTCATCAGTCAAGACCGGAGGAGACAACAAACCTTCCGTACAGGTCTGCCTGCCCTACTTGACGCGCCCGAACCCCCTTGAAATCCATTGCAACTTACTGCCAGCTTCAGTCTCTTCATCTAAGATGTCCAATGATATATCGCACTCTTAAATAGCCGTACAGGATGGTATAGTCCCCAGGATGCTTTCAATTGAACTACCACCCAATTTAACATCTGACGGTTTCATTATTCAAGGCATATACGCACCCATCACTTGGTCGAGTACGATACACGCACCGAAGCCCTACTCAACAGCCAGATTTCTAGGGTGCATATGGATATATTTTCATAAGTGAGTAGGCTCTACTTTGGTCAGCGCAAAACGACTCCCTGTACATCTTGGTATGTCCAATGCACCTTTGTTCACCCTGATGAGGCTAACTTAGACCAGTCGGTAGCTCGAACACCTTGTCTGGAGCGTTCTAATCTGCCTTGATATCAATGTATCGCCTGTATATCGTCAATGATATCGGACATTGCGACGACTAAAATCAGAGTCTGAAACGCGTCAAAAGTCACATGTGACTAATCAATGTGCACGTGACTATGACTACAATGACATCATACACCTTACTGTAACCATTCCACTCAGCAAAGAAGTAGATTGAGGGCTGACGCCCCCGATGACGTCGAACCCCTCTCTTTGGAAGGGGGTGTCTGACATGGGATTTTCATATATAGCCCTCGTAGTCTCGCGGTGCTCTCCCACTCTTACCTTCTACCAAACCCTCCCCTACAATGTATGCGATTTTAGCAGCCCGTAATGCAACAAAAGCGGTTTACCGTGTTTCCACTGTCATAAAGCCGAGTTCGAGGTTAACATCGACAAGGTAAGCAAGTTAGCCATGTGCAATTTGAATATCTTATGACGTTGTTTAGGCACTACTCTAGGTTTGTGGCAATTTGGCTGCTTCTTGACAAGAAGATAACAGTTTTCCTACGAACAGCACTATGCATGATAACGACGCAGAGGTTAGCATGGTGCGACAGCTGTCCTCAAGTCAACTAATGATATAATCCCTCGTGCACATAGCTTTTAGATCGAGAAAAGTCACGAAACCTTAACAAAAATCAGCACAAGACGTCGACGCCTATTGAAGATGCACCAGGTTGGAATGAAGGGCTTGCAAGTGCATCAGAGGCTCATGTCAAGGTGCATAAGTCTTGTTGATCGTTGAAAAACATGTTTAGCTAATATATTTTATGTCAGGCTGATCGTTCCGAAATACCAATGCACGATCTCCAGCGCAGAACTGTGAACTACATCCAGTCGCGCCATGCCCCTGATGAGCGGCTCGATCAACGTGAGGCATTTTACGCTCGTGACGAAATTACAGGGCCGTTACGCACTGCCTCAGTAGGCGAGTTTGAGGGCGTATACGGGGCAGGAGATGAAGGAGTAGATATGGAGGGAACAGAGGTTGATCCTGATGGGCGTAGTGTAAGGCGAGTTGTGCGAGAGGAAAAGACCGAACTTAATGTGAAAAGGGAATCGTGAGCTCAACATGAAATCAGTGATATTTGTATGTGTATTATTTTATCACATCTCTCGTGGTTAAGGCTGGCCGAAAGTGATAACACAACAATATGTTTGTGTAAACTTGACTTTATTTAATTTTATACAGCATTCTACTTTACTATTTTCATGTTGCCCGCTCATTTGTATGTTTTTATTTATCATACGTTGTGCTCATATATAATTGCTTCATATGTCGATGAACTGCATTTCCGTCAAACATATTGAATGCTTGGCAAAGTACTCGAGAAACATAGGCCTTGTCTTGACCGTTGTCACCGTTCTTTCACTCGCAAGCGGTGCGAGTTGTTTTTATCATGCACATAATTCTTCGAGAGATTTCGATATCATGATCATAGTAATCATATGTCATATGTAGGCAAGAGCATTACAGTATATTTAACGTCCAAAAACTAAGTTAGAATTATCCTAAATCAATGAACCCTACATTATATTCCTATCTCATCAGTTAATTCTTCTCTTCTCCAACTGACCCTGGTAGAATAACCGGGCCAGGTCCAAACTCACCATCACCTGGAAGCTGCTCAGGCGTTGCACCCGTCTCACTTGGAGGCAGGCGCACAGGCCCGGGGCCAAACGGAGGCCCAAAGGGCGAATGAGGAATTTTGACGGGACCTGGACCAAGTGCAATATTCTCCGTGGGGAGCTTCACGGGACCAGGTCCAAACTCGACATTCTCAGCTGGTTTGACTGAGGCAGCGGAGAGAGCTGTGGGCCCGAGGTGGAAAGGGACTGGTTGGTCCGTGTAGACCTGGTTGAGAGTTACGACTCGACGGGGATCAAAGTATCCACGGACATGGGGAGGTTGAGGTGGTCGAGGAGCGGTAGGCTTGATTCTGGAATTAGATCGGATTAAGGGTGGAGGTACCTGTGAAGATGACGAAATACTTACATGACGTTGAGAGACGATGTAAGCTTGGTTTGAGCGGGAGCACCTCCTACAAGGGGCTCGAGGTTCACGATGGCAGTGTAGAATATTCCTACTAGCCCTGACTGCAGAAACATCGAAAAGTTAACATCAGTATACAGGTTTGTTAGAAGTGAGTGTTAGCTTACGAGTTCGCCGTCGGTGTCTTTGACCTCGAGTTCTCCGCTAACGTTCACGGTGGCACTTCGTTTGTTAACAGCAGACTGGGACAGAAGCTGCTCCTTGTACTGCTGGCGCGAGAGGTGCTTGCCATTAACTGTGATATTGACTTCACGATCGAAGAATGAGTCAAAAACATCACCGAACTCAGATGCTGTGGTAGAGGTAAGCAACGAGGTAACTCGCGACTGAGTAAGCGCTGTGAGAGTAGGGAGGACTATATTTGCAGACATGTTGGTGGTGGTGGTGGTGGTGGTGGTGGTGTTGGGTGGTACGATTAGTTTGAATGCTGGATAGTGGGGTTAAGGGATGGCTTTATATCGCAGGAGGCTGGAAAACACACGTAAGCTTAACGGTATTGCGTTTACAACTGGCATGGTGCTAGCAACAGACAAGATCGGACAACATCTAGGCCCGGAGGCGGGACCTGTCACATATGACTGAATAAGTTGCGAGCGCCCCCATTACAATTACTAGAAAGGCGCATCCGCGGTCGGCGTATCAATGTGAAACCGAAGAGGCTGGATGGTATAAGACTCGCAGCCAGTAGTGGAATCCGTTCGGAGGAACTGATGACCCATATTGAAAGAAGAGATGCTAGTCGGGACTATGATACTTCGTGAAATGACTGCCGAATGCCAACGTGTTTGTTGACCACTGAACTTGAAGAGACAAAGAGGTAATCATCAAAGCACCGCCACTCCATCCGGTCTGGACCGGAGGTAGAGTCTGAGATGTAAACGGAGGTTGACATAATTCTGAGGACAAAATAAATGTCGCCGCTCCCCCAAGATGATGAGGAATGAAATAAACCTGATATGAACATCCCGTTGATGATATCAGGCACGCACGCCCCGTAGACCGGACGTTTGAGCGCCAGTACGAAATCTGTGCTTGCATGTTAAAATAAGCTGCGATATTTATTATGGATGAGGTCATCAAATATCATATTTGTTGCCCGCGCACCGCCGCATCGAGTCTAGTCCTGCATTACGTGGATGGCGGTACATTGATTGGTAAACGGATGGACGGCGACATTGTCCTGATTTTGCCTGCCTACTACAGCCTGCAAGTTGACCTAAGTTGCGATAATATGAGTAATCGGTTCTATTACTGAATGTGTCGTAGTGGCTACAAACCGTGATGGGCATGATGTTTGTGATTTGATCCCAACGTTAGTTTTGAGGCTTTCGTATCACGACGACTCGTGCCATCTCTACTAAGGATTCGGAGGGTAGCAAGTATAAGTGCGACATGATACAAGATCACATCATGTTGGAAGAGATTGAGATCGCAGCCACAAGTCTGGCGTAGTCACCGAAATGCAGGAGGTTATTAACACCGTCAAGGCGATGCTTGCCCGTGGCACACATGATATGCAGACGTCGGAGACGCGGTTGAATATTTGAGCGACCTGCGATAAGGACGGGAATCAGAACGCGTTGACGATGGTAGTACCAACACCAAGCAACGATAAAATGGCACAACGGTTTTGCAGGAGCGACTCACCTGAAATCTATAGCTTCTTACCTACCCCAAAGAACCACATGTTGCCTGTTATTGTTTCCAGGATGGAAGAGGTAAATGTTTGTGGTGTTCTAAACTTTTCACGAATGCCGCTCGCACTCGTACTTGACGCCCACCCAGTATGATGCGACCGAAAATATTTTGAAGAACTAGAAGTGACTGTGAAAATAGAACTTCCTTGATGGGTAGACCGTAAAGAGAGATATATGCGTAAATTTATGTGTGATGTAGTAGAGCAACTTGAAAGTTTGAACGACGACAAGAGTCACGATGTTTGCTGTCGAATGCTATTACGTCATCCTTACATGACTTTTTTTTGACTTTTTCAAACCAATAACGCTCTCGAGCTCATTCTCGAGGACTCTACACATATCTATCACCATATTTCAACAGGATGCAACCTCCGCCAGGACCATCACAGTTTGGGAGGTACAATAATGGTAAGTTTCAATCCAGTCTTGGCAGTGGACGTTGGCCCAGTGTTGCACTCTGAAGGACATTCCAGTGTAATGGCTTTTGAGCTAACGTGGTTTATCGTGATACAGCATCGCAATATGCTCAAGTTGGGCAGGCAATAACAGCGGCACTATCAAACCCTTATGCCTCTCAGTCATATAATACTCCCGGTCATCATTTCCAAAGTTATAACATGTCCCCGCATTATTATCAAGCGTATCTACAGGCTGCTGCTCAAACACCAACCACGAATGCAGAGGGGTATACCTTATCATCAACTTATGACCCAAGAGCATCTGCACAAAATGCATACAATAACAATCCACCTGGTTCCTCTAGACATGTTGATAAAAACGCAGGACGGGATCGAGAAAAAAGCAGACCTACCAACCATACGCCCAGCTGGTATCAGTCAGGTAACTGTCCATGTACGAAGCAAGGTTGTGCTTTCGTTGGCTCAAAAAAGTCTGTTGAAATACACATGATGGACCGCCACTTGATCTACCCTCCAGGGTGGGATCACAAAAAGAAAGAGCAAAATTGGGATGCCGATCCAAGCCTCAAAGGGTTCGTTCGCTAATTTTTTAAATGTTCCTGTTTATGCGTAGAACTAAACTATGAAACCAGCAAAATCATTCCAATACATGGTACTTCTATCGTACTTGACACGCCTGAGGCCCTCGATGCTTGGATTGCTGAGCGGAAAAAGAGATTCCCAACCACGGAACGCGTGATAGACAAAAAGCGTAAGCTCGAGGAGGCTGCTGCACGTGGGCAATTACCCCCAGAGGATATGGGATTGCTGGGACATAAGCGACGAAGGATGGAAGAAAATTCGAGAGAGGGCAGTGGAAATTATAGAGGTCGAGGACAGCGTGGCAGACAGCCAAGGGGGAGAGGACGGGGGCTCAGTAGGGGCAGGGGAGGCTCAACTGCAACGCATATAGATACCCCAGTGGCGAACCTGGAAAGGTCAGCGCCTGTACCTACTAGTTCAGCTGGCCCTTCCCTTGTGGTGGAAGCTCTGTCAGGGAGCTCGTCTGATTCAGATTCAGACGATGAGGTCCCAGAAGCAGTCTCGTCAAAGGCGCCTCCTGCGGATGTAAAACCGCGCGCAGACGAAACAGAAAGTCCGCAGGTACAAACTGTGCAACCTCTACCAAAAATCGTCAAGAAACCCATACCTCCTCAGCCCAAAAAACCGCCCCATAATCCCTTTGCTTCCAGGCCCACTCTATTACATAATGTAATGTGATTTAGTTCGAAGTTACTCCTTGTTCAATACTAACCACGACGAAATTACTTCCAGTTGCTTCTCCCCGAGATACGGAGAACGGTGTCAAATCTATCACAGGCAATTCGTTTCTTAGTTAACAATGACTTCTTACAAGACGTGGAGTCAAAACCAGGAGAAGCGGACGAAAAGCCGATACAAGTTATTGGCAGTAGCGACAACGTCGAGCTTACTATACCACAGCAGTCGCAGTGAACTTTAATTCTTACAATCACCATCTGTCGTGACCCCTGGACACTTTTCTATGAAGGTCCAGGTTGTAGTTTTGAGGGATAGTTTTCATTGCTTGCCTGTTGCAATATAGGGCTCGAGTCACGCACTTCAGTTATCCTGTGACATTTCCTGCGTCACCCACGATCACACCATGTCCTATTATTTGACCATGAGTTAATCAATCTCTCAAAGCACTGATCCAGATTTTTCTTCACGGAATTTTCAGTGCGCACAGTGCGCAAAGTAAGTTGTGAGTGAAAAAGTCCTATGTCTTGTGCCAGGGTGGTTATTTTCATGCAGCGGTCTACATCCCATACTGATTTGTTACCGCATTTCGCTATCGCTTTCACTCCCGCTCTCGCTTCCACTACTTCCATCAGATGAGCCTTCATCTTCCTCTACCTCCAATGTCCGTTTCTCAACCTCAAATCCATGACCCGTGAAGCTTTCTGCAATCTGGTCAACCTTGGATGGTGCGGTGACAGCGACCACAGTGGAAGAAGACGAGTCGAAAACTGGTAGTATATGCTTCTTGAGCGCCACAAGAACATCGTCCTTCGTGACCTCTTGGTACTTTTCAAGAAGGTCTAGGTTGTAGTTTTGAGGGAGACCTTTCAATGCTTGATTGGTGAACGAATTGATGGCCTGTAGCGGTGGAGTCGGATTATGATGTGAATAGCTTGTAGTGATCAATTGCTTACCGCACGACCTGCTGTTGACACGTTTTTGGCTACACCGAAGACGACGCTGCTTTTAGCAGCATCCAGCGTGGTCTCACTTAGCTCAATCTTAAAAGATGGTCATTATCAAATCCAAACCGCGATAAATTCATTGAACTTACGGAGCCGTCAGCAAGCCCTTTAACAACCTTATGCGCTTCTTCGAACGCCTGTATGCTGCCCGAGCTCTGTAAACGGTATCAGCCTCCAGCCACGAACTCCAGCCACGAAAGTGAACAGAACTACATACTCTGTATAGAGAAAACGTCAATAGCCCAGACTCTCTGTCATGAGTGACATAAGCCCCGTAGGCTAGACCTGATCCCCGAATGGAGCGCTGCAAGCGAATGAAGAATAAGGTGGCCAAATACGGATGAAAGGATAATAAAATTTCAAACCCATAAAAAGCTTTCCGCAGCGTTAAGAACTTCCAGTGCAACCCGAAGAGCTGGGAACTCCGGATGATCAAATCCTTGGATACTCTTGGTAGTGTGATTGACGTATGAGCTTTCGATGGTAGGGAGGCTGACGATCGTTGCCTGTAACACGTATAAGATATCTGGACATCCACTCGATAAATATATGTATGCACCTTTTTCACAGGATTCTTGCCCAATTGACTAAGGGTTTGTGATGCAAGTGGTAATGAGGCAAGCTCGCTTTCCTGCGACGAGCTATGAGTAAGAAGTCCTAAACAGCGGGTTGAACACAACTCACAGGCAACTGTCTGAAATATTCCGCCCAAGCACTGCGTGGTTTTACCAGATCCAGAACATTTCCTGTCACAGATATACGGATACCAGAAGGATCGGTCACTAAAAATGAAAGAAGTCAAGCGGCGTTTCACAATGAAATATTTGAAAAGTAATTTACAGTAAGACCTCATTTCCTCGAAGTCAGCGATGACCTTGTCCGGATCCTCTTGTAGCTCTTTGGCGAGCTTCGGAATAAACTCTGCCTGGGGGAGTATCGCTCCAGCTCGGGAGGTCGAACTTTCGTCGAAGAGGTTCTCAGCCCAAACGGAGGATAGAACATTACTTCCATCACGTTTCAACTCTGGGATAGATTGTTGGAGTTTAGCGATGTTCACTTGAAGTCTGCCATTACGTGTTAATAAAAACCAAAGACATAGAAAAGGACACGATTCACCTCTCCTTGTTAAACTCGCTGTTGTAAACGAGATCTCTTAACCAAGCTATGGTCGACTGGTAGCGCGCGGTTTCGACTTTCAAGCTAACACGCAGAGTTTCTGAGAACTGTTCTGATATACCCAGCACAGTCTCATATGAGACGGTCTCAGCATCGAGCCTGTTAACGACTTCCTCGTGAGTCAAGTACTCTCCAGTTGCCCGTTTTACGGGCAGAGAGAAAAAGGCTGAAAGATAGGTCGAAATATATCTAGAAATGATATAAGCGACAGGTCCTGTGCACAGTGAAAATTCATTTACGGGCGTAGCCTGTGAGGTAACTTGGCCAAAGAGAAGAAAGCATGAACAGCCACGAAATCGGACTGGGAAATGTTAGTTTAGTCAGACCTACAACTATGAAAATGTAGATAACAATACCTTAACATGATCGTATTGTACGAAGAAAGAGAGGGGTCCACCATCTGCTTCAATACATTTTGCCAACTTGGACTGAGAAGTTTGCAAAGAAGATCCATGTCTTCCCTTCCCTTTCTCCTGATGGCTTTGTACGGGGATCCATGAGATGCTCTTAACATCTGGTACGGGGAATGATGTGAGAATGTCAGTCGGTATTGGCTTTTCGTGTTCAGCCTTGGCGGCATTGAGCTCCTCTTCTGCCTTAGCAAGCCCATCAGGACCTAACTTTTCCCTTTGAGCAGCCAGACGAGATTTCTCGTCCTTTTCGAGCCTCTCGACCAAACTAGCGGAAGGCTTTCCACGAACGACGACGTATGAAGGGTCAACATAATATCTGGTAGATGATGACAACCATGTAAAATACCCAAGCACACCATTGCCACTCACTGGTGTAAAAGATCTTTCCACTGCTGAGCTGACCATGTTCGGAGCGTTGCATAAAGATTGATCTCGTCCAACGAAGCATACAAATCTGAACCATCTTCTGCACCGTACAAGAAATCAGATATGATAGAACCAGAGAAGGTATCTCCTTTGGCAGACTCGAGTTTGCTGCGGAACTGATGATCAAGGACTTTTTAATTGGCCGTCTGGTAAAGAGTACACTGGTTGTGACTTACCTGCCGCTCGTCCCGATCGATGACCATCGACATTCGACTCATATCAATGCCCTCTTGACAAATCTGCTGGAAACTGTTCTTGAGTTTTGCGTCGAAATCATCTAGATGCTCGGAAGGTATAGATCCTATGTAAATCGGCAAGTCAACCAAAGTAGCCCGGACATCTTCGCCAAAGTAGATGTAGGAACTAAGGACAGTCAGCATGCAATTATCTAAGACACAGTAAATTATCTACCAGAGGGGTGATTCTATCTCTATATACTCTTTGTTCAGAGGAGCTACTGGTGAAGAAGTTAAATAGGTGCCGAGCATATCAAGCGCCTATAAACCTGTCAATCATATGACCTACAGATGTTGAATATTCAAACCTTTCGCTCTAAATATTTATCTGGAGAAGGACCGACGTAAGTGACGAGGAGTTCACCCATGCTTTCATCTTTCTCAGGGAATTCCACAGTTTCCTTAACGATCTCCTTGATAGGACCACGCTTCGCGCTGGGGGTTTCAACAAATGGGCGCTTCCACCCCGGAGGCCGGGGACCATGAATTTGACCGTGTGCGATGATGTTTGGCTCGATATGTTCCTGAGCGACTGTGAGAAGAGATTCAGTACCACTTGAAAGTTTTCCGGTCACTATAAGCGATAGATTGTGGGGGACGTAATATGTAGCATGGTAATCCCGAACTGAGATAACGGTAAGCTAAATGTATGCCAGGAGAATGAAATGACAAACTCTGTTCCACGCTCAAAGCCCTGAGCGCCTCCATTAAACCACCAGTTTCGCTGCGATAGGCGCTTCCGGGAGGATAGAGAATGCGCTGTGCCCTGTGGCATGGGTCAACACCGAGATCACACGCATACATTCGAGGAAGGTACAGACCGAAGAGCCATTAGATCACCTGAGGTATTTTCTCTGCCTTGCATTTCACTGTAGACCACACCAGAGTCTTCACCCTCGGGATTTATGTGGTGAACCTGAGATATTGGAATTTAACATTTGATTATTGCTATGAAACGTATTAAGACGTACTTCCGTAATATATGCTGCCTTGGTCATGGTGGGATACAGTATGTGATCGACGTATATCGGCAATAGCTGAAGAAAGCCTTGTTCTCCGGCCGTTGAGACAGTATATGCTAGGAAAAAATGTTCAGATCAAATAAATTCAATGGTATATGAATCTCACCGGTATGATCATTGTCCGTCCATGCGTTGGTACCGTTTGAGAATCCTCGATTAGCAAGATGGTCTATGATGCCCTTGTAAGGATAGTTTTCTGAACCCATGAACACGAGACTAGAAATTATGCATAAGCGATGTTGAAGGGTCACGAGATCAGTATACTCACTGCTCGAGTGTATGAGGGCAACCGCTATCATTGAAGACTAATTCGATCAGTAAAGAAAGGGGACATCATTCACACATGGACACCTACTTTCAGTGCCAATGACAAAATAACCGTTGACAAGGGGAGCTGAAATCAAAGATTTATAAACGAGGAGAATCTAAACGCTGGTGCAGGTGCATACCTTCATAATCAAGGTGAACGATACTCAAGCCTGTCACTCTGCTTCTCCATTTTGAAACTGAAATATCTGTGTAATCCAGGTGCACTCGCTTGACGAGATCAAAATTCCCGAATTTCTGTGTATCATTATTGGTAGGAGACATCGATGGATTAAGATGCAAAGAGCGGCTAGTATGAGTGAAGAGATGATTATTTGGACTAATACCGAGATGTCGCCGGCGCGGTGGTCCGGGAAAACCGCTGGCCAGATTCGAACTGCAGCGTCTTGAGGACTGCAGCGACGTAGAGTAAAACCGAGAAAGTGTTGTTTGTAGACCTTTAAGGATACGACATTGGTTTTGCATGTCCTTGTCTAACCGTCCACCACGTCGTCGACACCGTTTCTCACCCAATTTTCTTGGTTTCTCACTTATTAGTCACCGTGCGGAGTCTACGGCAGCTAGCCGGTAAAACCCTAACCCCGACTCACAGCTTGGCTCAGACCTCAGAAACGAATATCCATGCTGCGTACCTTCGTTTGTTCTGATAGTGGGTTGACTTACAGTGAAGTCAACAAAAGCTTGCTGCTAGACATGACAGTCTAAACGGGTCGCAGGATCACCTGATGCCCAGGTCGTTGAACTCAGGTAGCTTTATCATGCCAGTGAACTGTATAGCAGCAGACCTAGAGCCGAGCCGAGCTCGAGGAGGATACGAAAGCCCTGGTATACAGTGCACATAAGCCTGAGCCTGAGATATTCCATATCGTGATGTTTTATGTCAAGATTCAAGAGCAAGTCTGTTATCTTATCGTTTCCACGCATGGCCATTTCAATTCCCGACAGGCTTCTGTCGCACCATGACAGACTCAGACTCGGACTCACTTTGAGCATATCGTTCTTTTTCTGCAGTCTCAGTCCCAGACATCGTCTACGAACGCATTCATGTCGAGTGCAACGACAACTCTGCAGTTAGCAGAACGACCTGATGTTCACAAATCATGTCGCTCTATCGAATCACTCGTAAATGTACTCAACGATTACTGTGAAGCTGCGGGCGCAATCGTCGCTTTACAGAAAAAGTTAGTTAAAGCCCTCAGGGATACTGCAGGACTCAAGACAACGAGCGATGTCGCTGGTAAGTTTGGCTCAATATTTTCATGATAGCACTCTCAGATCGATGACTTGGGCTACAGCGAATGCCTTAACCGCGAGTGCAAATATATTCGATGCACTTGCCGAAGTCGACAGCAAATTCGCGAAATTTGCAGATAAAGAGTGTGACAATATTAGCTCTGAGGTTAAGAAATGGTTCAAAAAGCTTAGCGTAAGTCATATCAGAATCTACTGCTCAGTGTTTCTCATTCTGGACATAGAAAGACGAGAGGACTCACGACGATCGAATGAGCGACGCTAATGCTCGTATCAAACACGCTGGTACATTATCGTGACATGCTCGATATCTTTTTATTCAATCATTCTTCATCTTGCAAGGTCAAATATATGAGAAGAAATCTAAGAAGAGTGCACGTGATGCAAGTGAAGAACACGCTCGCTACATTAAACTCCTCAGCCTACTTGGCCCGGAAATGTCTCAAGAGAAACAGTAAGTCATCTCCCTCGATAGTTTCGATATCATTCAAGTATCATGTGGCTTAATACTCGCATATAGCAATCACGCCTTGCTTGTTACACAGCGGCACACATCCACAACGTACAGTGTAGCTGCTTGTCTCTCACGGGTTGCTGATGCAGAATGGCTTCGAACCTGTGAACACGTCCGCCGATTCTCTCCTACAATCGGTCAACTTGGAGAATGGCGTGCTCTATGTGAAGGAAACTGGACAGGACCTATACCTGATGACCTTCCCGATACGACAGACATGCGTGAGCCATACCCGACTAATGATGCATATAATCGTAGTGTTACAGAATGGGGTCAGACAATTAACTCAGGAAGTCAGCACTCACAACAATCCCTTCCTTTCCCCATATCTGGAGGACAGAGTGGTGTTTCATCGTCGATAGCACCTGTATCCCTCGAGAGGCCTCGTCCTGCTTTTAGCAATGTCGATCATACTAAGGACTCAGTCAATTCAATTGCCACACTCTCCGCTTTCCCTTCCCCCCCTACCCACTTCCCTATCCCTCCTGCCCCGAACGAATCAGAACAGAGTCAGAGAATGCAGATACAAAATTTGCAAGTGCCTAATGCTACTCTCGCAGGGCAAGCACCTCGTGTCCTATCCGAATCCCCGAAACCTATGGAGGGCTCGTTGTCCGATGACATACCTGGCCTTTCCGAATCCAGAAAGTTACCACCACCACCTCAAGCTACTGCAGTGACGCCTCCTGCCCGGCCGCCCCAAATATACTCGGATAACAATTTGCCAGAGAAAGTGGACTCAATGTTGATATCTTCAGCAGGCGGATCAGCTATACCAGAAGACTCTCCAGTAGTTGAGGAAACGAAAGTACTCATTCAATTACGACACAATACTGTCCAGAAAGTGCCATCAGGATCGGGACCTGATGCCCCTATAACCCCCAGTTCTACTCAACAGCAAAAGACCGAATCTCAATTACCGGAACGTGATTTTGGCACCGCAAAGGAAATGGGACACAGTCGTTCACAGCTCAAAAGCAAGAGTGTCGACCTGTCAAAGGCTGGCCTTGAGAGAGCGTCTTCCACGACGAGCAATGGTAGCATTGTAGCTGCCATGCGAAATCGATATGCACGAGTTGTAAGTGTTCACTAGACCTGTTAGCTTATTGTTAAACTGTTTTCCAACAGGCTGGTTCCTCTTCTCCTCCCCCAAAGGATGTCCCGCGTTTACCTCTAGGCGTTCCTGACTTGGCATCGCGATACCAGCCAGCTGAGGGATCACTATCACCCCGGCGTGCAGCAGCCTCGCCCACCCACGACCGCCGGCCAACACCAGACTCATCGCCTCAAGCTCTTAGCTCCGAGTCTCCTGTTAGGTCCAGTCGAGACAAGTCAACAGACGATGACGAGCTCGTGCGGCGCCGAAGGCGCATAGAAGAACTGGCCGAACTCGAGTTCCGAGAGAAAGAATACGAGCTGAGGCAGCGCGAACGCGATATTGACCAGAGAGCGCGGGAACTTGATAGGGATCGCGCGCAGTTTCTGAATGGACGTTTAGAAGGTTCCGGCACGAGTGACTCCCCGAAAGGTCCCCGTTCCGCCAATCCATATTCGAATTCCCGTCATTCCTACACGACAGCACATCTCGTCCCGCCTTCAGCCTCTCCTTCGTCCTCCCATATCCAGTATTCACAATCATCTCAGTCCAATTCGCAGTCACAACCACCTTCTCCTCTACCTATGAAAGAACATGCGCCATTCTGTGGGTGCGATACTTGTTCTGTCACGAAATACAAGGCTGGAAATGTATCTCCATCCCCCCATGATCTCCGTCCGCCCGAACCACCGATACAGCTCCGTCCAGAGAAACCCAAAGGCTGGATCAGGCGGCTGAGTATGCCTGCGGTGAGCGGTGCGTTTTCACTTGACGCGAAGAAGAATGCAAGTGCTAGTAGTCTGAAGGCAGGTTTACCGATGCCTGCGGAGAACGGAAGGCTTCGGAAGAGGAGCTTCGACCAGGGAATCAGTAATCGCTCTATCGTGAATGTGAAACGTCGATAATGATTATGTGAAACGGGTCTATTCAAGAAGTCGCTCTTGATACGTATACCAACTTTCTTATTTGGATCTCATCAGTTATATGTAATTTCGCAAATTTTTGCTTTGGTATTTTTTTGCTTCAATTTATCGTAATCATATGCTACTTCAATCGAGACACTTTCATGTCTGCAGTGCTACCTCTTCACGCTGGTTTTTATATGCTGCTTATCTATGATATTACAGTACCATCTGTATACCTTTGCTACGCATAATTTATTCAGGTTATACGTATCTGAGGTCACGTATTTGTTGGGCTTCCAAGATATTATAAAATTCGTTGCAAATGGCATGATAAAGTATAAGCATAATTTTATCGTTTTCTAAATGATCATCGTTAATGCATTACAATATGCTCAGTTAGGGATACCCATTCATTCGTTTAGTCTTCAGCGGAGATGATTGCACTACCCTAATCCAAGTCTTCCAGGCTATATCATCAATTTCACTGTCTACTTTTTCTTTTTCTTGCGGTTCTTCTTGCCTACAGTTTTATTTTCTTCCGTAGCGGTGGTTTCTTCAGCGGCGGCGGGAGTTTCATCTGCAACGGCAGGTGGGTCTTCGGGTTTTGGCGATGCAGGAACCGATGGTGTGGGAGCAGACTCCGACTCAAGACCAGCTTTTGCCTCTGACAATACATTGTCAAGAATGCCAGCAGGACCTTCCGTATCCATAGTATCACCAGCAGCAGCAGAATCCACATTTTCAGAGGACCCTCCAGCATCACCTGCTCCTTCAACTATATGTTCCGGAGGTGCGAGGTCACCAAGCAAATCCTGCGTCTCAGTGGCGTTCGGTTCAAGCGGTGCGTCCGATTGGGCAGGAGGCTCGACCGGTGCATCTGCAGGAGTACTATCTGCAGGCGTTTCTGGGTTTTCACCAGCTGTATTCTCGGGGGTTTGAGTATTTTCTGGAGCAGTCTCAGCTGGATGCTCAGAAGACGGAGCGAAATGATCAAATGCACCGGGTACTGGCGTCTGCTCAGTCCAAGCATCCACAAGAGGCTCAGTTGATTGCTGTGGAGCTCCTTCGCCCCATGATTGTTCTGGGTCCCCGACTGGTGCTTCGGCGCCAGCCGTAGTAGTTGCAAGACCATCGCCGTATCCAGTTATGTCCGCAGCTGGATCGGATCCCTTCATCCAATCATCGGCTGCACCGTTTCCAGTCATAGAGGGATCCTCTACATAGTTTTGCGTATTCTCGAAGCCCCACTCACCCGACACAAAAGTGTCCGCCCCGCCTGCTGGAGCTCCGTTCCACGAGTGCATATGAGTTTCAGTCTCGGCAGAATAGCTTGACGGTACAAGACTTTCTTCTAGAGCAACATTTTGTTCAAAGTCTATTGGAGCGTCTGGCGCGACAGCTAGCACAGCCTCCACCTCCGGTGCTGGCGCAGGTTCTTGCGGCTCAGGATGTAGTACAGGTTCGTTGATAATAGGGGTATCTGCAAATCTGACCTCCAGCGGGGGTCGTCTCTCGAACGGTGTTTCAGCGATAGGTGATGGTTCAGGTTTCGGTGTCTCGATCTTGGGTGTTGCAATTTTGGGTGTTGCAACCCTGGGCGTCTCGATCTTAGGTGTCGCCGCACCAATCGATCTCGATTTTTCTACTTTGGGAGATACAGCTGGGGTAGCCGCTTTGGAATTCGAACCCCATACTGAACTCAAAGTCTCCGCAAGTTTGCCTGAGCTCTTGCCAGTAGATGAATCCGTGAGCTCAGAGGGTGTTGTAGCTTTACTCGAACTCTTGGACGGCTTTTCCTTCTCCCTAGGTCTCTCTTTGACTTTCCCTTTGTCTCTGTGACCGTCGCTCTCTCTCCCACGTCTCTCGCGGTCCATATCGGTAACAATGGGAGGTACAGGTGGTGGTTTCAAAGGGGATGTGGCTTTGGGAGGGGACAATTTAGACATGCTCCGCTCAGTAGGAACTTCCAAGAATGCTTCTTGTCTAGAACCGACAGCAGATGGTGTCTTGCTACCTGATACCAAGGAATCTCGCGATCTTGCGCGAGACGCTGGCACAGAAGCAGAACGGGAAGAACTGACATAGTCGTCCTCTGGACAGCTGTCTGGCTCGTCTTCATCTGCTCGGTGACCACTCTCGCTGTAAACAATTGATGCCGGACCACTGATTCAGGGTTAGTATCACGCAAAGGCGATAAACAAAATAGTGACGTACTATTTGGTTCTACCCTAAAGATAGTAGGATCAGTAAAAGAATTTGAGACGCAAAGGTGTATAATCAACCCACGTTGTCATTCCATTTGATTCGAGCTTTGAACTCGGTCAAACCGAAATGAATCTCAACACTAAATACAATTGTCCAATACGTCTTGCCTCCTCTTCCATGTTTTGGCTCAGCACTTCCACTAAGCGGTGACAAATCTGCTCGAACGACGCATAATGTTGAAAACTCCTCTTAAGAAATCATAAGTTTATACACACAAGCTCCTTATCTAATAAATGCATACCTGCGTGTCGAATGATCCATTTCGGGATGATGTCTCCTCCTCTGTAACACCATATTTCGACCTCGAATACAGACAAGGTCGAAAGATTTGTAAGCTCTGTGCAATATTTTCTGCTAAATACTGTTGACTCTTTGACCTTGACGCTCTAAAAAAAATTAATTGGCCAATGCACGACCAAACTTCGTCATTATTTCACTTACTCTGGACAATATACAGTCAAATGCATCAGGTAACAGGCGAGGACCTGATGGAAGCTCGCAAAGCCTGCCCTTCCTTGCAATGTGTTCCTCGTCGGATTGGTCGAATTCCCGGAGATATTCTACACCATACATATACTTGGACATCCGAGCTGAGACGTGATGATCGCAATAAAAGCCGATCGCACCATCAGCAACAGCCTTCGACCTATGAGGATGTCATGAAACATGAAACAGGAACAGATTCGGAGAATACTAGAATACTGACGTTTGGGTGTCTGGTCTACTCACGGTAACATGGAATCGGGAAAGACGTTCCTGAAGTTGCGAAAAGAGCCAAGGGCTTGCTGCAAACCCTCCAACCAACCATACTGACTGTAGGCATGATGAGATGCATGCCCTGAGTGCAGAAACCACTCTTACCTTAATCATCCCTCCCGAAGCCTGTATTTGCGCTGTAATAGACGCTACAGCTGCTTCTATCGAAGGTTCGAAAAGTTCGGCTACCTCAACACTTATAGTGAAGTTCGAGTAAATCTTATATAGATTGCTTATAAGATACTGACTGAACTTACCCAGTCAGCTTTAGTTGACCACCTCTAATACCGACTGCAAAGTCCTTATCAAGAGGCGAGCCAAACGGAATGAACTGCAAGTCTTTCTTGTCGCGGAACAGTCGCTTTGTCGTCTCATCAAACCGTTTGGTGATATGATCGAGTGAATCAGGTTGGCCATACTTGGAATTACTGAGTTTCTCTGCCGCGAAGTGAGAAAAATCAAACTAAAATCCTCAGCCACTCATACCTTCCAAAAATTGCCTGGCTCTGCGACTGACAAAGACAGATCCTGCAAATATACCTGCAATAATCCACGAATAAATATTTGACATTTTCCATATTCAGAAAATACGCACAGTCTGGGGGAGCGACTTCTTCAATTACCAAAGGGTGAGTACCACGTATGGCATATGAACTGATATCTAGAGTGCCACCACCAGCGTCTGCAACCAGAAAGCCATGCTTAGACGGGTTCTGTTAAAAAAACAGGGAAAGTATTCAACTAGAAGGCATGTTAATAGCTGAAAATGAAATTTACCGTAAGGACGTCGTCAGCCAACCCATTCAAGACACAGGAATGCAAACTAGCCTCTCCTTCTGTTACAAATCGTATTCTCGACTTTCCCTCGTCTGTATCGGGAATGAGGCCTCCATAAACGGCAGCTCGTCGCATTTTCGTCTGCTGTGCGCCTTCCCAGCCATTTGGGTGACTGAGTACAAACTCGATGCTGCCCTCGACGGCCTGCCAGAGTGAAGGACCATTTGCATGGGTGTCGGTAATGAAATTGCGCGTGCAGCGGAAGAGATATGCAAGGAAGTCGCCAAAAATGTCCACTGGTGTCTTATGCCGAGGCAGCGGACTCAACCGCATTCCATTCATCTTGAGCTTCATAGCTTTCGGTCGCAGACGTAATTTGAAGCTGAAAGACAAATATGGTTTGACACAGATAAGACAGGCAAGAGACAAGAGCATACAGTTCAGCCTTTATCCAGCCTTCGTCTTCAGCCTGTGAAGTAATTGAAGCATCGTCTGCTTCTGCCCCAGCCGCTCTGAGAGTCCCATACTTGTCATAGTAAACTAAAGAGGGGATTTTTGAGTTGCCAGCGACATGTTCCTGGCCGGGAAATCTTGCGAAAGGGACGCGTCATCGTCGAAAAATGGCGAAAAGGCTAGAGAAAAGCATACCGCGTGACTCCGTGTATCTTGGGAACCTCTCCAGGCTCGAGGATGGCATAAGACACGCCGCTGAATGTTGTTCCGACGTCGAGTGCGATTGCAAGAGAACGCGTTGAACCGCCGTACGGTTTGCGCGTATCTGTGTTTGGCTTCATGCCAGGATAAAGTGCAGGACGCTTAGATCAAGGATTGGGGGTGTAGATACGTAGATAAAAAATTGGGATGTGCATATAACAAGGTTTTGGGCTTATTTGCCCTGGACAGAACACGAGGAGAAGGGCAGAGAATGTCGAGGACTGCACTGGAAGAGCTGCGGTTCTGAGGGTATTATTGGGGACGGCTGGGGTGATGTGCCAGGAAAAGCCATGAGGATATTACATACAACGTGTGGAATGCGTTTGCCTCGAGGCAGATACAGGTGGCGTTAGATTGGGGCAATCTTTTCAGAGGGCCTCTTGTCCGTGAACTATGTAAGTCACAAGCCCTCTTTTTTGCAACCTTTTTTTGTTATACCTTCGCTAAGCAACGCATCAGAATCAGTGATTATCGTGCGCCGGTGTTTGGTCTTGTCCGTTCTTACAGCCATGCTCCCTGTCGCTAACTTGCATCTCAAAGACCTGTACGACACCACCGTGGAATTTTTTGCTCTTCGTAGTCCTACCTTTGCGTTTCGTGCATTCACAAGCGACTACACAGACTCTAGTGGGCCCTCCACCCCACGAGATCTTTCCCCCGGACCCGATCACGCAAGACTAGCAAAGGACGGCACCTCTTTACGTGAACGACTGGATGCTGCGGGTGTCGGACGTGTACATTGTCCTAGCTCCTGTTCCTGTCGGTATCTTGGTCCTTCTTCAACCGCCAATTCTACTATATACTCAATGAGCAGACGAGAGCTTGATGCAGCGAAAAATGAGCTGTCACGATCGCAGACAGAGGTCGCCAAGTTGGACGATCGGTGTAAAATACTGGAGAAAACACTATCGGAGACGAGAGATATGTTGCGAACTCGAGATGCAGAGATCGAATGGCTGAAGAAAGAGAGAGAGAAGCTGTTGTCGGGACATTGTTCTCGATCGATGGTGGAGCGTGCAGTACCTGGCGATCGCCGCCGAAGTCAGGAGTCCACTCATTCCCGTCACAGCTCTGGCCAAGCCCAAGATCTGAGTATGCAGTGGATAGAGAATCAGGGTATGATGAACACTTCGCCCACGAATGGCTACCACGCAAAGAAAAATGGAGAAGAGCGTAGCTCTTTTTCGTCCACTACGGAGGAAGAGCGGGCGCAAGCTAAGAGTCTCGAAACCTTTTTGACGAAAAGCGATCTCTGGTCAGGTGCACAAGTCATCCAGACCGTCCAGGACCTTAACTCAGAGATACTTCAGTTTGCTGCATCTGCAACTGAGCTGTGTACGTTTGTCAAACACCCACGAGTTGCAAATCCAAAACCTACCCAAGCCACTAATGAAACGACGACGAGACTGGGTCCGACTTTCTGTCGCATCCTATCGACACGCGATCACACTCAGGATCCGATGCTAGTCCAACTCGCACTACAGGGCTGTATCTCTATATGCATATCTCGAGCATTGTCGACATTCTGTCTCGGATATCAGTCTAAGACTAATACCATACTGGCTCAAATATACTCACGTATGATCCAAGAAGGTGCGTTGAAAGTAAACGTGAGTTTTTCGGAGACTGACGGTATGACTTGCAGAACCCCAACCCATGTCTTCTCGTTGGAGGGCGTTAACACATAAGCATATCCATGGACTTCATCCCGAGCTGGAGGATTATATTAGCAACGAATTGACTGAGACGATCTTCCGATGGTCGTTGGACGTTTTCCTCATATCTGGGAGTTCGAACCCGCAGACAGTTCCTTCCTCGCGAGAGAACTTCAAAAGTCGATTCGGGGCGCAAGTGCGGCGCATTGCAAAGGCAGTGTACAAACTAGCCCAAGTCACAAGAGAGGAGATCATGTCGACAAACTTTGAAGTAATAGCGGTAGAGAGTGGTAAGGCTTTTGACGCTCAGGAAGTGGTGGATGCGTTTGAAGATTACGGGACTTCGAAGGGAGCTGTCCTGTGTACCACAGAATTGGGGCTGAGATGCTCGACGAGGAAGAGCCCGAACGAAACCGGAAAGCCTGAAGGCGAAGGATGCATAGAGCGACGATGTTTACTGCGACCTAAGGTGGTCCTAGAATCCGTAGTGGAAGTGCTTGATCCTCGTTGACAGCGCTGCTGTAGGATGAGCTGTTGCATGAGGCATTAAATTACACCACTTAATCTCGAATTTACTTACCGTTCGTGTTTTCGACTGTCACTGTACTGTTACTGGATATCATTGTTACTGTATTATGCGTCATGGACAATTGCATCTGTTGTATTCTCAATGGTGGTGGTAGTGTTTATATCGACATGCCTAGCCTGTTGGCAAACAACGCCTTATGCTTGTGGCTTCAATGCCTTTGACTCGAGGCAGACACGATTCCCGATGATAGGAGCTCACATGTGCCTATACATCATATTACTCTATGATCTTGGAACCGAAGTAGCACTGAGTAAAAAGTAAATAATCGCACTGCAAATGATTTAGTATGGTTCAGGAAAGTTGAGGTGCACATAAGTATAAGGGTCCTGACATCGCTTGAACCCTAACATATATTAACTGATACTCGTAGCTCTTAGGGGAGGAAAAATAAGATTCTTAGACATTCAGATCAGACCCCATCCATGTATTAAATACACATGTACAGAACTAATAGGATAGTTACTATAGGGGCTGAAATTCCTAGTCACCTTCCATATGTGGACGTTGAAGCTCATGAGCCTCTCACTGAATCTGATATTCCTACCTATGGACAGATAAGCCGTACAATGCGTACAGTATAAACAAAAATAAAGAGAGCTAAGACCTCATTCTACAAGTGGATGACCTGGGGTTGAAGACTGATTCCCTTTCACTCGAACTCCTCGTACGGAAAGGGGCTTGTTGTGGAAGGCTGCAAGCACCTCATATAATGGATAACAGCTACACGCAACTTACACGAGCTCTTACACGACGCCCGGAGCTCGAGGGTGATTATCCTCCACAAATCTACCAATATCTCAACGTGTGATCTCGCCCCCCGGTGAACAGTGGTATCGTGAACGAAAACGGGCTTACATGGTAGATAAATAAACCAAAAAAAATTTCCAAGTCAGATGCCTCTTAGATGGCCTGGATAAGATTTGTCCATAGATCCTTCTGCACTACCACGGAAATTATCTTTCCAGCAGCTTTCTTCACATATCTTTCTCAGTCGTCTACTTCGATATCGAATATCAATTTATCTGTTTTCGCATATTCAGTGAAGTATTTTCCCATGAGAAATGAACCAGAGCGTACCTTTCAGATACGGCCCACTAAACTGTTGGTACGATATGTGAGCCTCGTGAACACGGTATGCATTTAAATCGTCTTCGTTATCAAACACGAAAATGACACCTACAGAGCAAATTATTTATAGTATTACGGTGTTCACAACAGGAACACATGCTCACCATCATCAAATCCTTGCCCTAGGGGGTTGAAAATTGAATGGCCAACTTTCACCTCCTTTATTTGAGGTATTTTGACGCCCAACAATCTGACTTCATTCTTAATGCTTTCGAGGTTTTCTTCGGTAGCCTCTGGCAGAAGCTTATAAAGAACTATAATAATGCTATCAGGCTGGGTAGAGGAGGGATAAGGAGTGAAGCGCTACTCTACGAAGAAGAAAACTTGCCTATGTGATGGATAGTCATGAGAGAAATATCGAAGTGAGGTACATGAGCGCACGATAGCTGAGGTATTTATAATACGTCCTTTATCATCAGGGCGCTGAGCATTCACCAAAAAGAGAAGAAAAAAGAACAACTTGATAATCGTGGAGAATCAGTTGCTGGGATCGATATTCGAGATTGGGCAGGACAGTATATATCTTTTTGAAAGTTTAGAATAGACTCGAATAACCCACGGACCCCACGACTGAGAAGGTTTTCCGCTACTAGTAGTACGTGGCTAATCAGGATTCGATGAAACTTGTGTGCCGGGATTCATGGCTGTCTTATTATTAAAAGATGAGAGCCGAGAATGATTCAAGTACTGAGGTGTACGCTGGCATTGATCTACCGCCTTGGCTGATGAGTTAGAAGACTACTGGAGGTCACTAATGCGAGTCTGAACGCGGACGCCTCGGATGTTCGGATCGACGGTACTCCGCACTCACTGTTTGGTATTATTGAAAGCCGAAGCTTCCGCATAATAAGGACAAATAACTAGCTTTCGAACCCCGGGCCACTGGTCCAGTAATCCCATGTGCATATCTACTATTATGCATATGGGGCTTTTTCTACACATAGTCACCAGTTACTATCAATATTCCTCTACTAGCACATCTTGACGAGTCATTTCCAACCCTCAGGGTGTCTAGATCACACAAGTGCAATAATGGAGGAACTGTAGCGTCACATTTGGCCACTTGGAATTTTCCCGTGCTCCAGGATTTATAGCGTAAAATGCTACCCCACAGCTTGGTTCCAGACGTCGCAACAAACTTGTATCCAAAAAGTTGTACAGTTAAAAGTCATCAATTACTGGTCTGCGATTATTGATACAGATTTCAGTCAATTTTAGCTCTACGAGCCTCTACCGTTACCAGTGAAAGGCAAGAGGTTTGTCTGTGGGATCAGATGTGTCCTCTCTACATAAAGTGACTTATCTATGGTCTCTGTAGCCTTTTTCTCGGCCCGCCCTCTCCCCTAATCACATATATCATGTCAAATAAAATACTGGCAGTTACTAACCTGGGTCTCAATCATGTTCAGCATTCCTCGCATCGCTCGCTCCTATACTATCCCTGTGAACAAGCGATGTAATGATGTGTTTCTACCGTCCCATGCAACCATGCTTGATGTCCATTCTCACACCTAACTTGTCACTGCAACTCAACCGGTAAGTTATCTCAGCTGTTTCCTTTTCACATGGCGTAACTCCCGTAACTGAATCCCACTTGGAGCAACTTGTGTTGCCTAACATGAACATGCATGATAAAATGCTCCTGAGCTGCTTCTAACATCGTGATTACCTGGTCTGGAACGACTGTCTTCCTTATAAATGGCTTGCCTAGGGAAAACTACCCGTGGTCGCCTTCTCTTCTATCGACGAGGCAAAGGTAGTGCAACACTTAGCCTTATTCGTTATATGGATATTGCGTATCTAGGTCATCTGCTTCGAATGCAGCATTGGCATGGATGGATTGCGGTTATCTATTCATGCCGTCATCACGAGAGAACTGGCATAGTTTGCCGTTGATTCACACCCAGTATATTTTTTTTAGTATTTGGATTACCATCTTTTCTTTTGCACATCTTGGCATTTTGGGTTCTTGCTAGTCAACTGTCGGGACGGGATGGTGATTATTAGGTACGAGACGGAGAGTACAAACGCCCGTGGGCTATGAGCCTCGTGAAGCAGTAGTCTATATTTGTCCTTTTGGTCTTCATAACAGCTTGTTGGGAAAATACAGGGCTTCCCTGTATCGGTAATCCATACTGTCGTTCCCCTATTCGGATGTATGGAGGATTTGGACGTTTGTTCGGGGGATAGCACACGTTGCAAGGACTCTATGTATTGGATATCTTTTCTAGTGAATTCCTCACCTTGAAAAATTTCCCTCGAGCTTTCTCAGCTCATGAAGCGGTCGTGCTGTCCCGCAACTTCTGGCATGTTCACGTGGAAATGATGCCTCTCTGGAGCGTAACGCTATGGCAGGGATGTCCGAAAAGGTGGAGAATGACATAGTTAAACCAGCGCTAGGCACCTATATCGATGGCGCCGGCGGCGCGAAGCTTCCAAAGCGGTCGTTGGCAGGGGTATAAATAATGGATATCCTCTCGCGGGGATGTACTTCGTATTGTTGTTATCCGATAGAGCGGAGATCGGAGTTTCATACCAGCGAGCTATGACCAGGGGGACTGTAGCGTTAGGACCAATAACTTGCAGGCAGGTACGGTGAAAATCGACTACTTGCACTACTTGGTTCTTGAGAGTCGTGGCCGTTGACAACTGGGAAGTCTCCAATGGAATCATGTCAGTACAAACGCCGATGACTCACAATAGCAAGTTCTCGTCGATGGTAATGACTGAGAAGTCTGGGTATTAGAGCGAATCGCCTAAGGATGCAGCCCCAAAAACGTCTTTTCGCGGCAGGATATTTTGGTAGCTGATTAAATCACGGAGTTGGATCAAGATAGCGGTGCCAGTAGATTGTGAATGCTGATATTTCAGTCGTGGCAGTCGGTGTGCGGTTTTCCAAGATTACGGGCTCTTTTAATTAATTTCCTGAAAACTATTCATCAGAACGCTGGCATCGGACGTGTACGTAGAGCTGTGACACGGTGACGGGTCAACGTACCGCAGCCTGCATCAGAGGTCGTCCAGACGTCTATCCCCGCTCTATACATCAGCCGTTATCCTAGCATGTCGGCGACGTGCATGATTAATACATAGGTACCTGTAGAGTCAGTATTGGGTTCTAGGGACAATAAAATCAAAGCCAACTGGTCCAGGGTGTTCTTTGTCTGCACATATAATGGAACTTCGAATGATCATCAAGATGGCGGCTCTCGACGTTTTATAATGACAGCCAAGAGGACTTGCTACAAGGTAGTAGCTCGAAAATAATTTAATTCCCCCAAGTTCCAATTAATCCGAGTTCGAGTTTAACCGGTTCAAGTCAGTTGGCAAGAGCTCCCACGGCCACGGCCTATAGTAGGCACATGAGCGGCACATGGCATTCCGAATCTTCTTCCTTGAACTTCGAGATGCAACTTGGACTTCGCTGTTCACGCCCAGTGACTTTGGTAAAAATAATGTATGTGCCATGTTTTTCAAAACTAGAGTCTAATGACATGGATAACAACCAGTTTCTATTGACTCTCACCATAAACCAGCATTCGGTTATATTACGGCATTCTCAAAGTTGCGTTGAGATCCACCATGGTCGTTCTCTCTATTCAAGGACTGGTAATCTGACGGAGCTCAGTTTATTTTCAGAAGGCCTTGTGTCACCGTACGGTACCAACATGTCAACTAATCAAGAACCAAAAAGTTGATAGGTGCAGTATGGATGGATCATCATATCAATTCAGTTAAATGAATTCAGAGAAATGTCTACATGACATGCCTTTCAACAGACGAAAGGGCTGCACACGGGTTCTCATATCGTAAAGTCAAATTTCTCGCGAAGAAGCAGGAATGTCTGACTTGTTGTCGTGTAACATTTCCAGAAACTCCTTGGTTTGTTATTCAGGGACCTTAACGTTCTCGTCAGGCGAGTATCGTACCATTCTATACCCGAAATTATATCTGATAAATATTTGTATCAGAATGCTTCCACCATATCCTCTCACCTGACCTTCCCACCGGGGGCCTGTGGGGCCCGAGCTACAGTTCGGTGACCCATCCTGATTTAACCAGGGCATTCGCGGAACTCTTTCTGGATGCCTTTTGATGCAAGCTTTCAATTTTCCACGTACGCTCTTAGGCTATTTCGCCGCTCGCAACGCACTTTCGACGAATGCCCTTTCGCGAACATCCCCGGTTCGTGCCCCTGATGATATCGCTGAGGTTGTCATCTCAATGTTGTTATACTTGTTTCTGGTGACGTTTACAAGCTTCAAGGCAAATCGAACGTAGGCCTTTTCCTTCCTGAGATCGTCGAAGCACCTCTGCATCACAAATCCCAAATCAAAGCCCAGAAGTTCAAGCCAAAAGCGAAGTATCACCTGATACATTGGTGCCTACAATGTCCATGGGATCGAAATACTCCAGGTCTTTTTTGAAGCCGTGCTCGTCGGCTACGTATCATGGATCTTGATGATTCCTCTTCAACAGCACGGCACACAAAATGACTCGGGGTAACAAAAACAAACCTAGATGGGATTGTGATTTTGTGACTCTGCCGAGATCCCAGTCTGATTTCTCCTCGACCTGAAACGATAACTCAATATTCCTTCCCAATATCTCAAATGTACTGGCATGAGCCTAACTCAATTGTCACCGCTTCAAACTCGTGTTCAATCGATGTACGTTTTCTTACGATATCCCCGTGGCAAAGCCCAAATGGTTTGAACTAAACGATATTCCAGTTATGTAATTTGACAGTATTTCCAACGACACGGGTTAGATACCACATGGAAAGGGCTACACTCACCAATATTGTACAAGGGAGGTGCTTGTGTATCAGGAGCGATGGTGTTGCACAACTACCTCTGACATCCACGCCATGAATGGCGATTAACTCGAATATTGCTATTGCTTATCTATGAGTTTTTTCTTCTAGCTAGGATTACTCGGCTCAGCTGTTTATCCTGGTATTATTATCAGCAGACCAGCTTGACTATCCTCAAGCAGGATATTTCAGAGCCTATTTTACTACGCTCAACTACCACTTCTGCTGCCATCCCCGGCCAGGTTGTATATTCTGCCCCTTTCTTCCGCTCGGTTTCTGGGTTATCCGTGGTTCGATGCCAAAACGTCTTCTAATCTGATGCCTCCCATTGGAAATCCACTTGTTCTTGGCCTGTTGTTCTTGTGCTACTTTCGGCCAATCTGAGCCTGAATAGCAGCCTACTTGAGAACCAAGATATCGAAATATCGAAAGTTCAAGTATCTGATCTGAAGGCGACTCGTGATCCTGTGACCGCAACTATGGTCCTGTACTTCCACCTGTACTTTTCCACGACAGAACCATCACTGCGGTATTTATTAGGATCTTTATCACACAGGACGAAGACGCCACAGCTCCAAATATGTCGCGGTGGGCTGACATGTTAAAGTGCGCCATTATCGTCTATAAATGTTCCTTGTGCTTCCTTCTTTATCATGCGCCAAATGTGAACGCTCATTCAGCGCTAAGCTTCACTTGCCCTAGAGAGGAAATTGAACCTAACGCCTCATCCACCAGTCGCTACGGCAGACGAACAATGGTGATATCGTTTACATAAACCGCAGGTAGGAGGCCATCATTCTTGTTGACGTGAATGGATGTTGCTTTAAAATTGTGACTCGTGATACCCATCTCAGTGCTCTAGTGCTGGCTCTGCGAATGCAACATTATTCGGAGATTATCTGCTAACAGCGGAGTAAAACGGGGTTTCTTATTTCCCGCCCGAGTCATGCAATCGGTAAGAAACTGTGGTCGAACTTGATGTTTGATGCTTGGGTACGTGTTCCTTGGGCCTTGGCTGAGACTCTGGCACGAGCCACGAGGAACCCGTGCAGGAAGCAAACTGACTATGCCTGATGTAGTGTGATCACCGATCTACAGTGGGTGTTCCTACGTGGCCATTTTCAACGTTATCCTTATCGAGACGTCAGATGTGACTTCTTCTATTCATGGGCTGTACCACAAGCCACACGTTTAATGTGCAATCAGGGCGCGCCCGTGAAGTGTATCTGCAGCTCCGACACCCTCTTTGTCTGACACCATGCAAGGCCAGAATCCCACGATAACTTCGTAATGGGCGTTTTGTGCTACACCGAAGCAGGCTTACCATACGCGTCAACCGCTGCAGATATAAAGTCAGTCTCTGGAAAACAATGGCCAGTTGCTTATACTTACCCCAATACTAGTCTTCACGCATATCCTCGCGATAAATTAGTACGTACCTCCTTTATGGTCCGACTTTATATGCTCACTAACTACTTCCAGTCATGTGTAGCATGGAATGGTTTGTCTCCAATGTTTCTACCGTAGCCTAGTAGCTCACCTTGTGTAGTGTCGGAGATCAATATAGAGGGTGCCAGGTAAGCGCGTTCCATACTAATTAGCATCCGATATTGATCAGAGCCCTTTCCTTAACCTAGCATTATGTCCGAGCCTACCAGACGGGCGATACAACTGACTGCATGTCGCCAACGTGTAAACTGAGCTCTGCCCACATGCATAAGACAGCTCGGAACTGCGGCTGCAACGCTGTACGTATCGTCATTTTTGTGTCAGTTTCCACCTCTAACTCATTACTGCATTGCAGGTATATTCTGACGAACGGAGGGTCCGCAATTTGTTTCAGACGAAATGCGATAACTGCCAGATTGCTGAAGAAGCAGCAAGAACAGCCGAATTTGCACGTCGGACGGGTCGCCATCATTAGTGCCACATCACTTACGAGATCACCAATTCCCTCCCCTACATACTTCATAACATGCTGTCAAGTTCAATGTACCGTACCAATACTTTGCTGTCTATCGCTTTTATTGTAATGTTATCCTGTTCTTTTATATCGTAGGGTGTCACACAACTATAAGTCCCTCGCTTCATTACTTGATATCTTATCTCCCACCGGTCCCGATGTCTGGGGGACACTCCAAAATACTCATGAAAGAAGCAGTACTGTTGCGCAGCCCCACCAGAGCGTGGGGGTGAATATTTCACATTCAAAATGCCACGCCCTTCCAGCGTGCCATAGCGAGATGACTTGGACACTGTACATATAGCTGCATAGGGAGCGACATCATTTCCACGACAGAACCACGGAAACAAGGACCTCATGGTCTATCAGCCGATTCAAGACCCATGAAACTTCACATTGATTCTACCATCTGACCTCGGCTTCTCGGCGATGGGAGAACTTTATGAGCCTCATGAAGAGTGGAAGGAAGCGGGACTAAAATCGTTTACCCCCTCGCTTGATTGGCTGTCTCGCTCCTCGCTTGGCGGTGATTCCGGCTTTGATTTGTGTAGCCTTTCTCTTGCGCTCGTCACCACTGTCGTCACCACTCGAGGATGGTTGTGCCCTTGCTTTCTTTACCGGCCGTATAGGAGACGATTCCGAATCTGACGCATCATCTTTCGACTCGCTTTTCGTTACAGTAGTCTGGGAAGGGGGGGACACCTGTCGTGATGAGTACGAGGAGGAAGGGGCGGCCTCGCCATTAGCACGGCTATCTGCTGGGGAAGGTAATGGCGACTGGTCCTTTGACCTGGCAGGAACGGGCACAGAGGGGCCTGCATCATCGCGTTCGGACTCAGTGGCAGAATCACATCGAAGTAATGACCTTCTTGGACTATTCTCAGGAATCATAGGAATACCAATATCGGCGTTCCTGACATCATAATCGATACTCTACCCCACAATTTAGATTCTTGATTGAGCTAAACTTCTGAGTGAAGGTGCTTACATTTGGTATGGTCAATTTTGGTGAAGGCGACCGCGTGTGTATTAGACGCTCAGGGGTCTGTTTTATCTTTTGGTCAATACTTAGGTCCGGCTTCTCTGCGTTGGTAATTATACCTGCTGGATTGGGGAGGTGCATGAACTTGAGCTGCTTAAGGCAATATTATGTTGAAATGACAGACTCACGAAGATCCGGGATGAAATTGAACATCGCCGTCATACGCCGTAGGGTCGTAGCCACACGAGGCCTAGATAGGGCATTTTTTATATGCGTATCAACGGTTCTTCGAGCAGTCCGACCAACTTTATCAATAGCCTGTCACGCCCGAGTCCACTATCAGCGCGCAAGAAGGTTATTACTATAAGGGAGACTCACTTTCTCCAGATCGCTTTCTGATATGTCGCACACTGCATCGGTGGAAGAGAAGGTCATATGATTGACACTGATCAGTGGCATGATAAGGTGTTTTGAAAGGAGCTCGGCAGATAACCTGTGTCCAGTGAGCGTAGTCTCCCATCTCCAATTGAAGTGGTCCGATTCTAGTTCGAATGCGAAGTCCTGAAACCATGATATGACGTCTTCTCAGAACAGTAGAGCAGATATACCTACTGCATAGCTCGATTCTGTAACCTCAAACGCTAGGTCTGCTATACCGCCGATGGAATGGCCTTTGTTCAACAAATCAATGTTGCGGGTCCTCCAGGCCTCCTCTTCCTCCATGTCAGAGAAATGCGAGTTGTCATGTTTATTGCAATCTCTCCACCGACGCGCAAACTGTTTACTGTTCATGACTGCACCCTGATGAGTACTCGCTTGCTAATGCACTGTGAAAGATGGGCCTACCCTCAGCCCAACAAGTTTTAGTGTCAGTCACCAGTACGCAACAAGACAGATCCACTGTCGACGCATAAAATTTCTAAGGAATTGCGACATATGTCACCAGCGATCAGCGCAAGCAGGAAAGGAAAGGTTGAACTGTATAAATTAGAGACCGGTAAGTAGTAGACCGTAGATACGCACAAACAGATAAGGAATTGAAGTTTGGGTGTCAATCTTCACCAGCCATTCCTTGGATAACAATAATTTTGAATGCTCCTGTGATAATCCCGGTGAGCACAAAGAACCTAGTTGAGACGTGACATGGCAGCAACCTCGGAGAAATACTCCATCCTTTGGCACTTTCAAGTCCTGAGCTTCAAATAAGTATATCCCTGAGCATTATTGCGCATCGGATATTTTGTCTGCATTGGACTTACATCGAATTACTGATAATGAGATGGGCCTTGGTGACTGCGTGGTGTCCTGGTGAGCGACTTTACCCCCAGCCTCGAACTCGGATTGCGCGCACCAGGCAGCAACCGAAACGCATGGATCGGACTTTGAAATCTACATGAGGCTTTCATTCCGCACTTGACGGTCACACAATCGGTGATAATATCGAAATTTTCAAGGAAAACGAAGTACACGTGTAACACTACTTTGTCTGTATTGTATTTCTCATTGGACATGGGCCTTTTACAGGAATGGAGGAGGGTGAAATGGCTCTCGATACCTGTATCGGCCTCGCTTACGATCCTGCTCTAGAATGGCCTGGAGAATCCTCAGCATCCAGGGATGATACACTGACAGGTCATTCTACGAGTCACGAACCATCAAAGAGCCTTCCCTGGCTCCCACTTCGTCTCTTGGTACAGCGAACCTCCATCTTACCGAAGAATCGCAAGCTTGCCGTACTAGATGCTTATGGAGAGGCCCAGTTTGGCCGGGATGTTGCTCCCGCAGGCAGTGAGACGCCCCGCGTTCGGCTTAAAGAGATGGAGGTCTCTAAGCTGCATGCGACGGTGTACTGGGATAAACAAAGGCGGGAGTGGTCGATTGTAGACATGGGCTCAAAACATGGAACATTCCTCAAATCTAGTCAAGATCCATCACAAGTGGATAAGGAGGGAGTACGTCTGTCCCCTCCTAGAGTTGCCAGCGTTCCTCGTCGCCTGCGACATCTTGACCTTGTAACGATTGGCAGTACAATGTTTCTTGTCCATATCCATGAAGATCATAAGCCGTGCTTCGAATGCTCTTCGAGTGGTACGGAAGATATCCCGCTATTCAATGCCCCAAAGGACAGCAAACAAATCTCTCTCAAACGTTCTCGAGATCTAGCCATCGTAGAGAGCGAGAGCGAGAGACAGGAGCCTAGAGACCCGAAGAAAGCACTAACCATGCTGAAGCGCAGTTTGCTCATGCGTCATAATGACAGCACAAATTCTTCCAAATCTGCTCGCTCCGCAGCAGCTGGTTACGTTGATCGATCCGCTCGTCGTCGTTCAGTTCACGGATCTGGGGTTGATGCTCCTGGTGTTCCAAGTTCAAGGAGCGGATCTCCTGGAGTCACACCGCCTTTCTATGGTGTGTCTCGCGAGGGGTTGCCGTCACTTCCGGTGTCCATTGCAGAGAAGTCGCACTCGCCTACCCCACTACCCGAGACTAATATTGGGCATCGTCTTCTTATGAAACAAGGTTGGCAGCCAGGTACATCTCTCGGTATCTCATCGGAGGGAGACTCCCCTGGGCTAGTCGAACCCCTTGAAGTTATCTCAACGTCAAACAGGGCGGGACTTGGTATGCCTGCGCAAGCTGTTTCTCAGTCCGAAACAACCACCAATTGGAAGGAGCATGCAAGACAGAGACGGTGGGATGCTCTTAGACCGGTACAGTAGATCCGGTGTTTTTGATTGTCGACACAAGGTGTCGTATGGTGTGTTCCATTCTCGACCGTCATCGGTGGTTTCTTACTGATCCGATCTTCTAGACTGGGACACCGTACCTGTGATGAGACCGACTCGGGGGTGGCTGACGCAAGAAATGCCGACATTGCCTCGTAAAAGTGCTTCCCCGCCCCCTTCGCTCGCAGGGCAGAGCCGCACCCCGCCCTCTGTGGGACAACGGAGATAACGAGGAAGCCTTGCGAGTAACCGTAATTTCGTTAACATCCTGAGAGAGCATCGCAGTTCGGCCAATAGGCAACTCAGAGATTCGTAGCATAGGGTTCAGAAGAGCTTCTGAATGATGGACTGATGCGCGTGTTGATAGATTACGATATTTTTGTATTATTTTGAGTACAATAGTGTAGCTTTGTATTTTCCAGAAATGTATATTAGGTAAGGAACGCGTCGCGACGCGTCGCCAGAGACGCGACGCGATTGTTTTGACAAGCTTGTGTGAGCACGTGAGCAGTTCGCGTTTTGTACGCGACACTGAAAGGCCGGAGAGACTTTCAGTCTGGTCCTTTGGTCCTCAAGAGCGGCTGACCGCCTTTTTTTCTCTTTTTCTTTGACCACACCGTTGTGCACGACCACAGCAAATCTTAAAAGGCCAGGTTTCGGGTGTACTTCTCTCTCTTACCAACACAATCTCTTCACTGTATCTTTGCGGGCCCTTTTCTGGTCTTCCTCGTCGTTGTCAACGTCTCTATCATCTCGACTTGTATCTCTTACTTTAACATAGCATGGCCAACAACAACGCCCGTGTAAGTCGTTCTGTCCGTATCGACAGTTTCATCGATTTTTTAAATCCATCGCCACAGTTTCAGACTCGCAGTCGTGTCGGCGTTCAACGTTCCAAGGTGAACGGCGACGAAAACGCAACCAGCAAACATATCCGTCAAGCTTCTGGCCTCGTCGGTTCCGGTGCTTCTCGAGCATCCGCCGTCCTCAATGGCATCAAAGCAAACGTTCAGCGCCCTGCTCTCGGTGAAGTCACCACCACTGCTGTCAACCGCAAGGTATGTCGTTGCTCGTCGTTCTGTGTCTTGAACCATGTCTCACTTTTCATTTTTAGGATGTGGCAGGCAAAGCCACAGGTAAAGACAACCTGAAGGAGAGCACTGAGCATGGATTGAAGCGAAGTCGCTCATCTTCGCTGGCCGCCGCTACTGGTCCCCAGCGTGTCCCTGTTGGACCAGGCAGGACTGAGACTGCATTACCCCCACACCGTACCCGTGCACCCATTGCACGTACCCAGAAGTCATCGGTCTTCAAGCGTATTTCGCGGCAGGAGACCGCTGTACCTGTAGTCATCCCCACTGAAGTAGAAGAAGTGGCGGAAAGTGAAATGGAAATTGAAACCCAACCTCAAGATGAAGAACTTGAAGAAGAAACCAGCATCATCCATGACAGAGACGATATGGACGATGTGCGGGAATCTGATAGCGACGAGCAAGAAGTGGAGAAGGCCGCGAGTATCCATTCTCCTCGCATGTGGCCGGACGTCGATACCGAGCGAGCAGTGAAGTATTATCAAGAAATAGAAGCGGTCAAAAAGACGTTCGAAGATGAAGTAGACTTTTTTGACACCACGATGGTCACAGAATATGCAGAGGATATCTTCAAGTACATGTCCGATCTAGAGGCAAGTCTTTTTCTCTATGTGTAATCAAGAATATAAACTGAACTTACCATGACAGGAGGACGTCATGCCGAACCCAGATTATATGTCTGGTCAAAACGAAATTTCCTGGTCTATGCGGCAAACACTTGTCGACTGGCTGCTCCAAGTCCACCTGCGATACCACATGCTACCCGAAACGCTATGGATAGCTGTCAACATTGTTGACCGTTTCCTTACTAGGCGTGTTGTGTCCCTCGTCAAGCTCCAACTTGTCGGCGTTACAGCGATGTTCATCGCTGCGAAGTATGAAGAAATCCTAGCTCCTTCCGTAGACGAGTTTGTTTTCATGACTGAAAACGGCTACTCAAAAGAGGAGATTCTCAAAGGGGAGCGTATCGTATTGCAAACGCTCGACTTCAAAGTGTCGCAATATTGCTCACCATACAGCTGGATGCGACGGATCAGCAAAGCAGACGACTACGACATTCAAACCAGAACGTTAGGGAAGTTCTTGACAGAAGTGACGTTGTTGGATTATCGATTCCTGAGATGCAAACCCAGTCTTATCGCTGCGGTTGGAATGTATAGTGCAAGGAAGATGTTGGGCGGAGACTGGGTGAGTAGCAGTTCATTTCTTTTCCTTTGTCAACATGAAGCAAGCGCGTGTTTGGCTCGTGACCCTCATACTCCCCATTTGGATGTCATGTGACTGATTTTACTTTTTTGTTTACAGAACGAGGCATTCGTGTATCATTCAGGTTTTGTCGAGGAACAATTGGAGCCTGGACACCAGTGGATAGCCGATAAATTGCTAGAAGAAAACTTCCACCAGCAATATGTTTGCCAGAAATACGGGCACAAGAAGTTCCTCAAAGCATCTGTTTTTGCCATCGAGTGGGCCAAGGCTAATGCCGCTAGTGGGGGTTCTGACGAGCAAGTGATGCTCAAGAAGTGAACTCTTCCTTTGCCCTTCCTGGCGTTGTTCGACATTTACCTCATATCATCGTCCCTTTGTCTTTGTGCTTGACCTACTGTTTCTCATATTCTCCATCATCCTTGCAATCTCATTTTGTTTGATTATCCACATCAACTATGTCTCCATCCGTCTATGTCTGTTTTGCTCTTAAACTGCTATCGGCCTGTGATTCATGCATTTCATCCCCAAAACATTTTCTACTTCCCCTCTTTTCCCTGCCCCCTATTCGTTCGTAACACCGCGTTCACGATCACTTAATCATTTGACGAGACACATCTTACATTGCGGACCTGTTTGCTATGTCTCTATGATTGTGTCACCTATGCCTCTCCTTTTCATATCTCTACCCTTGATCCAGACCCCCACCTTCTATCCCGCAGCATCATCATTCGTACATACGTATGTCATGCATCCTACTCCACCCCAGTCTTTCCTCTATCTTTTGCTTTGTTTAACCTTAACTCGACTTCATCTCGACTTGTTTTATCATCACCATCTATTCTTTTACACCTTATTCTCCATCGTTACCTGCAGGTGACGTTCTATTTCTGGGTTTACATATTTTTCAGCTATTTTCTCCCATTACTTCATATTTCGTTCACCGGTTTTTGGTCGAATAGTGCGGTCGCAAGGCATTAGTTCTGCGATCCTGAAGCGTAGATACTGTATGGTATAGCTGCGCAGGACGCGTTGTCGTCGTCTCTTTTTCCCTCATTATTTAATAGCATGACACAAAATGTCAGTTTGCTACCAATGTCTGATTCTGAGTCGATGAGCCTGAATTGTTCTGAGTACTACTGCAAGTGCCACCAGACTTGTTGCCGGTCTAACGCCCAGATGTATCAGGTCTATTTTTCACGCGCTCGGGGAATGCACTGGTAACTCGCCGATCTCAAGTCGACTACACGTGATTTCTCACCACCAATATTTTTGGGCTGTTCTCCACTTCCGCCTGTTCTTTATTTCCCATAACATCCATTACCACTTTACATGTCTCTCTCGTTCAAAGGCCATACGGTTGTTGTCACAGGTGCTGGAGGAGGCTTGGGAAAGGCGTATGTCTGACTTCCTTATCGCGAGTCTCGGTGCCAGTTAGTTGATGAAACTGTTGCAGATATTCCCTGCTTTTCGCATCTCGTGGGGCCAATGTTGTCGTAAACGACTTTAACGCTGAAGCTGCACAGAAGGTCGTGGATGAGATTAAGAATGGTGCGTTGTTTCCATTTTATCCGGACTGTCCATACGAGTAACCTAATTTCACCCTATGACGTATGTGCAGCTGGTGGAAGTGCTATCTCAAACGCTTCCTCAGTAACGGACGGCGCCGCAGTTATCAAAAGCGCAGTTGACGCTTTTGGCGGTGTCTCTGTCCTTATCAATAATGCAGGTATTCTGAGAGATAGGGGGTATGCATTATCCTATTGTTATACTCCAAAACTGATGGTCCGGCTCATAACAGTTTCAAGAACATGACGGATGCAGAATGGGATCAGGTCGTTTCAGTTCACCTCAAAGGCGCATTCTCGTGCACAAAGGCGGCCTGGCCATTATTCCGCAAACAGAAGTTTGGCCGAGTTATCAATACGGCTAGTGCAGCAGGCATCTACGGTAAGTCTCATTGTCCGCTCGTTGACAATGGAATGGCATTGCGGCATTGCCACTCTCCGCATTATCTGTTTTAAATGGTTCTAACCAATACATCAAGGCAACTTTGGCCAGGCTAACTATAGTGCCGCTAAGATGGGTCTCATCGCCTTCACGAAGTCCCTTGCTAGGGAAGGTTCTAAGTACGGTATCAGCGCTGTTGCGATCGCACCGGTGGCTGCTTCAGCGATGACACAGACCATTATGCCCCCGGAGATGCTAGCTAATTTGAAAGTAGGCGTCGAGACTGAGCGCCTGCCCGAAATTTCTCGCTGACAAGCTATCCTTAGCCGGAATTTGTTGCTCCATTCGTTGCTGCTGTTTGCCATCCTGACGGACCTAACCCATCGGGGCGAGTGTTCGAGGTTGGCGCAGGTTTCGTCGCGGAAATTCGGTTTGAACGCAGCAAAGGCGCGATCTGGAGGACTGACGACAGTTTTACACCTTCTGCTGTAAGGGTTCACGATACTATCACTAGGTATCTTAGCTGACTAATCATTATTTTCTGCAGGTGAAAGAAAAATGGCCAGAAGTCCAAGACTTTTCAGAAGCTAGATAGTAAGTGTAATATCGACTCCGTCCCGACAGGTCACTCATACCTGTCCTGTCTTTTTGTACCTCAGTCCTGAATCAGTGGCAGATGTTGACAACACAGTATGTAGTTATATGTTCTTTCAGAGTCTAGTACAGCTGATTTAATGGCTGTGGGGGTTGTTAGTTAGAGATTTCTGCTACTCTTCCTTCGAACCCTCAATCTTCACCTCCTGTCCGCTTCGATGGAAAGACCGCCATTATTACAGGAGCAGGTGCTGGCCTTGGACGAGCTTATGCTCTGATGTACGGGCGACTTGGCGCTAATGTTGTTGTGAACGACGTCAGCGAGAAAGGTGCGAAGTCAGTTTGTGCTGAGGTTGAGGCTTGTGCGTTTTTTATTTTTGCTTCATTGATAATACTTGCTAATGTATGGGATATCACACCGCAGTGGGAGGGAAAGCTGCCGTTGCCGTGTGCTCTGCAGAGGATGGCGAAGGTATCGTGAAAACAGCGTTGGCCGCGTTCGGCGGGGTACACATCCTCATAGCAAACGCTGGAGTGTTGAGAGACAAGTCTTTCACAGCGATGACGGAGCAAGAATGGGACCTTGTAATGGCAGTGCATTTACGTGGGACGTACAAGGTAGGATATTTGTAAGCATTTGGTGCTGGACTAACAGGTTTGTAATAATCATAATAGTGTGCTAAGGCCGTCTGGCCAATTTTCCAGAAGCAAAAGTATGGCCGTATTGTTACAACATGCTCCCAAGTTGGGATATGTGAGTACTTAGTATTATCTTTACTACAAAGTATTGACTAAGTCATATTTAGATGGAAATTTCGGCCAAACTAACGTACAGTTTATCTATGTGCCACGAGATGAGATTTAACTAATTCAAATTTGCCTCTTAGTACTCCTCTGCAAAAGCGGGCATCATGGGCCTTACAAAGACGCTTGGACACGAGGGGCGTAAATACAATATCCTTGCAAACGTTATCGCTCCTGCCGCGGGGACGGCGATGACAATGACTGTTTGGTATGTTTTCGATAAACTTCGTGGATACGACCTTGTCGTGAATTGAGCCATTACTTCACAGGCCTCAAGAATGGATCGACGCCTTCAAAGTGAGTAGTATGATACCAATGATGTTACCCTGTTGACGCTGCTCTAGCCGGACTATATTGCTCCTATCGTTGGATATCTCACAAGCGAAGCAAACACAGAAACCACTGCGTGTCTGTTCGAAATCCGAGGTGGATGGGCTGCCCAGACACGTTGGCAGCGCGCTGGCGGATATGGGTTCCCTTCGAACAAGAATTTGACGCCCGAGGATGTTATAGCGAAATGGGATGCCTTCACCAACTTTGGTGAGCACTCTTAGAAGCAGAAATGTAGTGTCGGTGACTGACATTGCCTAATCAGACGATGGACGTGCGACACATCCCACGACATCTGCAGAGGGAATGGAACAGATTATGGCAAACTTCGAAAACAAAGCATCTGTAGTGGAGACTGCTGTCGATGCTGTCAAGGAAGCAGGTAAGGCGCTGAAGGCTAAGTTGTGATGAGTGAGCGTATGAGGTGGTTTTAATATTATTATTTGCCGTTCATTTCATGTATAGCATTACACAACATCTGTACACGTATTTTTACTTTTGTCCTTACAAAGTCATCCCAGCTAGTTGATAGTAATCACAAGGAATGTGTAAGTTGACCATATCAAGTCTTGATTTATACCTTGAATAAACACGCGAATAATGGCCTGGTGTTTGCATGTGATTTTGGTACTCCCGTTTTATCGGCCACTCCCATGGACACAGCAGCCCATTCCCAGCTTTTGTCCATCGTCTATATCTTACAGACTCTTTCGCATTCGCCATGTCAAAGCTTCCCGCCGTTTTCAGAGACCAAGAAGACTCGCAGATCGTTGCTAAAGCCAAAGAAAAGCAGGTAGACGATCAAGGTTTCAGTTACACCGAGCGCGACGTTATACTTTACAACCTTGGCATCGGGGCCACCGAGCAGGACTTACAATGGACGTACGAGGGTCATGATGATTTCTCGGCGCTGCCCACATACGGTGTGGTTCCACAGTTCCTAGCCAGTGCAGGCGTTCCCTTGGGTTGGTTGCCGGACTACAACCCTGTGAGTTTGTCAACTATTCCTAGTGGCATCGCCGTCTTGTCCGATGGACGTGCTCAACTTTGAGATTTAGGCCAAGTTGTTGCATGGGGAGCAATATCTATCTATAAAGGCGCCAATCCCACCTAGCGCTGATTTGGTCAATGAAACGAGGTTCGTGGTCAACTAAGCATATTACCAGTGTGAACTGATCCCATGATGTATCTTCACACGCAGAATAATGGAAGTACTTGACAAGGGCAAAGCAGCTTCTGTTACTATTATAGTTCACACCAAGGACAAGGAGACCGGTAAACTTATCTTCGAGAACCAAGTTACCATATTCATCCGTGGGTCTGGCGGGTTTGGTGGTAAACGAACTGGGACTGGTATGTTTCGACGCAAAGCTTCTCAACTCAGGCATAATTCACTCATGGCGCAACGTCCAGATCGGGGGCCAGCAACTGCTGCCAATACACCTCCCAAGCGGCAACCGGACGCTGTGGTCGAAGAGGCAACATCTCCTTCACAAGCAGCCCTATATCGGTAAGGATATTTACGTATATCTTACTTTTTTAATACTATATCGCTCACTCTATCCTTTAGTTTAAGTGGGGATTACAATCCGCTACATGTACGTACCTGGTTTTTGAAATTATTATGCTTCGTCCCCGAGCCCAATGTTCCCAGATTTTCCCAGATTTTGCTGCCATGGGAGGTTTTGACAAGCCTATTCTCCATGGTGAGCCCATATATATGGCATCCCGAATAAATCGACTTCTCACTGCTTTGAATAGGTCTGTGTTCCATGGGTTTTGCAGGAAAGCACGTCTTACAGACGTACGGTCCGTATACGGACATCAAAGTCCGGTATGCTCATTCTCGCATCATCGTTTAGTTCAATGTCCACTGACAGATGTTTCCCGTGCACAGCTTCACGGGCGTAGTTTATCCTGGGGAAACGCTTGTCACAGAAATGTGGAAGGAGGGTAATAAGGTCATATTCAGTGAGGACAAAACCACTTTGTTATATGCGCCTACATTAATAATGAATTTCCTTCAATCAGCGACCAAAACCAAAGAGCGTGGATCAGCTGCTCTTGCTGCGGCAGCTGTAACACTAGTCGATAGCGATGTTAAGGCAAAGCTGTGAATTTGTTGGTCCTGAACCTGACTCCACAGTTCCACTACCATCATGATTCACTTCAGATAGTAGACCTGTGTACGCTTGCGTTTAATATTCAGCCATCTATCTAAATCACATCATTGCCTATGCAGAGTTTCACGTGCATCTTTGAATTGCGAAATCTACCCTTTCTAGTGGGGATGCAATAGTGTTTAACCAACGAGTTTATGTAGTACTATTATTAGCCTAAATGGATGAAGTTGAGTGGTATTTGTGCTCACTCTCCACGAAGGTCCACAGTGTGACCCTCGATCGGGAGGAAGGAAACGCTAAATGCCCCAAATTTGGACGATATAAAAATTAAACTGTCAAAGGAAATCATAGGATACAGTAGCCACGTCCATGGGCGGTAAATGTGGGTATATACGATGACGATAACTGCGCAGTAGCTAAATTATGATCATATTTGGCTAAAAAGGATTGGTAAGGTCGAAGTCGTGTAAGATTTATCAATGGCGGGAAAATAGCTGTTCATTTACTTTACGTGCATAGTAGCGCTGAAGTAGATGTGGCACCTAGGAAGACAGATGTCATTAGCAATGTTTGCGAAAAGACAAAGTCATAATTGTAGAGTTTACCTGGGTAGAACCAGAATGTCACTCCAAGGATAAGATACAAACCTGCCACAACACGTATGGGTGAAAGGGTACAGCACACAAAAAGGGGAGACGTACACATGAGAATCATTCCCTCAAGCCAATTTGATTTTCCATCCTGAACAACATAATTGACCGTAATCACTGTGTCAACAGTCAGTACGAATTTCACACCGGAGTATTGTTGTTATGCGGCACGCACCTGCCAAGAACATAACAATGGATTCCAAAGGGTCAAAGAGCAGAGTAAGGGGTTTGCCTAGAATCCATGCCAACGTGATGATAAACCTATTTTCCAGATCGTTTGAGCCGAATAAAATTGACAGGAGTTGAAAATTGTACTTACGGAATGACAAAGAGAGCAATTTGCTAATGGTCAGAAGACAGTATCAGTAACAAGTACGACAAAAACAGAGCAATAAAATATAGCAAATAAAGGACTGACAATACTCGAGCCAACGGCAACACCCAAGCTCAGCGTAAGCTTGTCCTTCACCGAGACAGTAACAGCGGTGACATGCTCAGCGGCATTGCCGACAATTGGAAGGAGGATGACGCCGACGAATTCCTTGCTGATGGCCCCCGTGGCGGTGAGACCATTAATGGAGTCGACGAGCCATTCAGCCGTCACAGCCACAAACTTAGTGAAGAAGTAGAATGAAACTCGTTAGTGTTTGTTAAAGCCTTAGCCAAAAGGGTTACATACTACTGTGACCACGGCCAGGAGGATGATAGTCACAAGAACGCTCATTTGAGGCACCTCTTCTTCTTCCTCCTCTTCTGCTTCGGCCGGCGCACGATCACCAGACTCAACGTCTTCTGTATTAGAAGTTTTTGCAACAGCTGAACCATCAACAGTGCCAAATTGGGGCTTCACAGCACGTTTAGGGATTTTAAACGGATTCTTTTCGTAAGCCACGCTGGCTTCAATGTTTTTGTCGTTGTAAAGATCTTTGTGAGAAAATAACTGGAAAACGAGATACGAGGCATAGACTGTGCATGCAATCAGTTTTTGCAGGCGACCAAATTAAGAATGTGAATAATCACTGAAGAGAAGAATGATTGCGACCTGGATGCAGATGCTTAAGCGCACGAAAATAACACGGACAGTGATAAAACACTCACCCCATGGCTAGTCTTCAAAATTTCCTGGTCAATTGAAAGTTCATCTGGCCCTGAACTCGTGTCAGTAAGTGCCAAGTGAAACGCTCCAGGGAGTAACACGGCTATGACACTGATTGTGAGCAGCGACGAATTCAGTTGCACGGCGCCTATGGAATAAGCCTCATAAGCAATAGAAGGCGTTTTCTGAACTAAGACGATCTTTACTCTGCCCAAAGCCTTGTTCTGAAAACCGTAGACCTCCCGCAAAGAAACACATTCCCAAGACGAGGACTAAAAAAAGAAACGTCTATAAGTGGAAACTATAGTACGATGCAAACTATAAGAACTTACGTAAATTGCTCAATATAGAGCCTACCACTGTAAACCCAAAATGGTATCAGGTTATCAGAACATTCTCAACAGAAAGGTCAACACAGCAGTAGCTACACCCGACAAGGGACCACTGCCTGTGATGAAAGAGATGACATACATGATGATTGGACTATAGACAGCTCGCATTTGGTCAGGGCAATGATCTTGAAATGACTCCATGAGTTACCGATTCGACTGAGCACCGCGACAAGGCACCTACCGCGACAATCAACTCAACACTGGCGGTGGGAGAAATTTCGAATCATGAGCATATTAGCATACAAAGGAGACGTAGTCACTGACGCATTTCCCTAGTAGACAATTCAGTATATATAACCCGCTAAAGTAGTCAAAATGCTCACCAATGTGGCATTAAGTAATCCAGCCAAAGTTTGACCCACTCGAATCGAAAGTTCATCAGTGGCGAACGCTAGGAGCTATTGACAATTATATAACCCAGCGTACGTATCCACAATTTTTGAATAAGTACCTTAGCCAACGGTACGATAGCCAGGAAAGAGACTTAAGGCCACCATTAGAAACGTTGAAGCTCGATAAGCAAAAGATATCACTCACAAACGAAAATGAGGGTATAACTATCGTTCATCGCAAAGTTGAGAGCCCACTACGAGATGAGCCTATCAGAAGGCGACGAGTGGGGAGTTTTAGCAGATACATACAGAAACTGGAATGAAAACTAGAAGAACGTTTATCCCTGTATGATAACAGTGGTCAACTTGAGTGAGTGAACAAAACTGAGGACAAGTCACATGAATGAAACAAAATGGATCGCAAGCTGCGCCAGACGCTGGGGGGAGGGGCTAGCTTTTTTTCTGGTGTCATTATAGTGGTTGCAACTCTGCGCAGACTGAAGGACGTCCTCCTTGGTGTCTCTGGGATCTCAAAAGTTGGCTTTCTTGAACGAGTGCTGAAAGGCTGTGGAGATGATGGGGCAGTCGGAACTGGGTCTGCTGTTCTTCTGCGTTGCAGTATGGGAGAACCAGTTCCTGCTGAATGTTCGCTGGAATCAGCAGCGGCATATCCAAGGGAAGCTGTGCTTTCCATCAGCCTAAGAGGTATTTGGCTGGACATAGCCTGCGACATACTCATAAAGGTGAAAGTTATAAGTAGAGATATAAGTGAAGAAAAAAATGAAGAAGGAAGGAACTTATAACTGGTGGTGCGATGCACGTGTAGGGTTCCAGATGAGTTCAGAAAAGAAAGGCGGCGATGTCAGTTGCCAGCACAAAAACAAATAATAATCTAACTGGCCACAAACGAACGCTTGGCAGGGGCCACAGCCTTTACGTAACAATATGCCGAAAAAGGCAGTAGCCGACAATCTCTTCTGGTCTCATCTCACCCGCCACAGCTCCCAAACCGGGCCACCCTCGAAAAAACGGATTTCAAGACACAAAAGGTGTATCAAAAGTGTAATGCGGGGTCCGCTATGTTGCATAGGATCTCTTCCTCGGAATTTCTTAGACGGCAACGATGCATTCACGGCAGTTGTAGCACTCGGACCGATCCGATTCGATTCAGAACGTTCTGACCGAACGTTCCAGTGCACTGCCCGCCACGCGCCACGAGTTGTCCAGTCCGTTTCAATACATCTACACGCTTGTCTACACGACATCCATTTCCTGCACTAAACGGGTACGTGCATAATTTATGCAACACAGCAACGTATTTTAGGTTTCACCTCTATCCTTGGTCCACTGGGTTAGTGCGATACTTGTATCAACATGTAGCGCTTGAAGTTAACCCTTGTTCAGCATGTCATCGGTCCATCGGTCCAAAATGGATCCAACTATCACAGGTATACTGGATCAGTATTTCACGACTTGCATCGATTTGGTCCTCGTGGGGTCATTCTTCGGACGCTGATCGATCGCTGATTTTCTTCATTCACGAAAGACTCCAGCCTGAGGTCATCAACTGGTCATCCCAGCCCCATGTCACGTTGAATCGTTGGGTAATTTTACAATATCCCAAAACATGTATTTAACGGATAGCCTTCTTGCCCGAAACCACGGATAAGATCTCGGCATATATGTAAACAGTTGCCCCTGATAGCGGTTAATTCGTCGTTGGGCAATAGTGCGCGGACTCTACAGTCTGAAATCTGTTCAACAGCGGCACCAATACGCATCTTAGCAGACGCTTGCTGCTGCGCACTCAAATCCTGTGGTGCGACCGCTGCTTTGATGTGCCTTGGAACAGCACGACCACTGCTGTCCTATGGAAGTATGATACGCTTTTTCCACCTACCTGGGGCATTTTCCATTGGACTGGAGCAATCTGATAACATTTTCTTTGAAGCATTGCGATAACCTCAAATAGCCGCATCAGAGCTCGCATCATATCAGTATCATATCTACTACAGACAAGCTGAGTACTCGCTATCAATCAATGATGGTCAAGGTAACATTGAAATGCTAGCGAATGGACCACACGCAACATTTTGTAACAGCTACCCTAGTAAGGATTCTTTCCTGCTGCTTAAAATTGGTGTCAACAACACGTTCATTATGAAATAATGTATCAAACAGAATTGTGAATAAGACCCTATAATCATTCGGTGTCGTAGGGTGTCGTATGATAATTAATACATGTCCCAAACTGCATGCGATAAATTACAACTGATGCAAAACCTCCAATAAGTACCCGACTAATATCACCATAGATCTCCAGGCAAGCTCGCATCAAATCACTTTTACGCTAACGCAACTGCTACGGGCAGTGCCAAAAAGGCGAGGTATAAGCCCAACTAACTTAGGCGTGGGCCTCCCTCATTTACAAGATATGCGCGAATCCAAAGGCACCATGAGTACTCAGCTTAGCCTTGGTATGCGAAGGAAACAGCCCCGTATAGTCCGTCTTCGCGACCAAGCATGCCATAGCCATGCAGCACCTAAATGTTAGTTAGAGCACGTCAGTCATAGTTTTCTTCATCTCCACAAGAAACATATAATTACTAACCTCCATTTTCCTAGCGTGCCACCCGACACCACTACTTACATTTCCATTGGCGTCTGCGAGTCTTTCAATTTCCAGTCGTAGGGGGTGGTCAGATCTCAAATCTCTCCTCAGCTCTCCTCCAATCCACCCACTGGCTGTGTCAACGTACCACCCTCTACCACCTTTACTTCTAACAATTCTCCAAGAACCAGCCCCAGCACCCAAACCGCCCAACATGGGTACCGAGAGTTCGATGACGCGAAGACGCGTAGGTGTTGGCAATGTCTTGGAAGTGGAGAAGGGTGGCGTGCAGAGTGGCCGAATAAGTTGTGTATGCAACGCGATGGAGGCCTGACGCGCAGAACTCCTTGGCGCTCCCATGCCAGCACCTGCTCTTCCCCACTCTAATTCAGGAGAGGTCGAAACTATAGTCAATACTTCCACGTTTGTGGCTTTAGTCTTGATAAATTGGCTAACAGCACCCAAATCAAGATCCGAAATGTACGAAAGGCCCAATGAGCGCAGGTTAGGCTGCGGCTTACATATGTCCAGCAGTAACGGCCTTGTGACAGGTGCGCTAGACAAATCGAGATACAATAGATCACCATTCGTGAGGCAAGGCGCAAATGCAAACATCTCCTGAAGGTCATCCTCTGACAAAGAGGTAGGGAATGTCCGGTCGCCATACAACGTGAGTTCCTGTATTTGACTAGCTGCAGGCGCATGAATCAAGAAATTTTTGATACTTTCTCCTGTGAGACGAATGCATCGAGCAAGTGCAAGTGAACGCAGCCTTACAGGAGACGTGGCAAGGGCAGCGAGTAAATCGGGCGTTGCACGTGTTCCTGATAGATCAAGGTGCGTGAGCGATGGGAAGGCTAGTACGAATGGAGTAAGAATGTGAGGCTGAATGGATTTTACACCCCGAAGACCCAGACGCTGTAAACCGGGGAAGCTTAACGAGTCATCTGGTACGAAGCGGGGAGACCGAGCGCGTCTACCCTCCCTATGATCATTTTCGTCGGAATCGCCACCAGAAAGTAAATGAGTGTTAACAAATTCTGTGAGTGCGCCTACGAAGACCGCACTGACACAGCCTGTGAGGTCTATTGATTCGAGATCTTTGCAGTCCCTCCTCCTTTCACGATCTTCTTCGTCGGGATCCTGAGGGTCGACCACCATAAGCCCTCTACCACGCGTAGGACGACCACGGCCTCGTGAAGGTGCACCACGAAGGAACAGCTCGTTCAAAACAGGCAATGTCAGGGAACCATCCATATACTCAGTAGCTCCAAACGAAGTGAGATTTGGTAATTCCTGTTCAAAGTAAATTATGAACTCGATGCTATGTACCTCAATCAAGTATAACAACTAACCTTCAATAGAGCTTCGATACGATCACCAGTTACAAAGCGACTGTTAACACCTTCCTCAACTGAACGGCGCATTCCAATGGTTCGGAAATGATTGAAATCAAGGTGACGCACAAATCGACCCGGACGAGGATCATGTGGCGTCGGTACTAGAACAAATAAATAATGAGCTCGTGGGGAAGGTAGGAGGGAAGAAAAATATTTACCATAGTACCCTGGCTCACTGCGGTCCATGACATCCTGAACAGCGACGCTAATGGATCGCATGATTTTCCACCGTGCAGGACTTTTACTCTTAGTCCTCAGACGTCTCGGGCTAGGGTCACGCGAAGCGGGAGGGGTAAGCAATTCTGGGGGAATGGAGCCGTCTGGGCCACCCAGTGACTCCATTATTGACGCCCTAAGCTTCATTGCCGCGTCCTGGTCCAGTACAGGGCCAATTAATGCACTAGTCCCCATAGCAGCATTTGCAGCGGCTTGTATGGATTGCTCCACAGCCAAAGCTGCCTTTTCTTCGGCTTCTTGCTCATCGTCTACCTCAGCTATCTCATCCACTAAGGAGAGCCAGCTTCTGGGGAGTCGGACTTCAACCTTCTGCCACAGCCAAGGCTTTGCTGCGTCATACCAAGTATGATTTACGAGACACAGGTTGGATAGGGTTTTGCGCACCACAGGCTCCGACCAATTGCCTGGAGGCATGGAAGAAGGCAGAGCGGTGGGGGCACCATATTCACCGAGCACTAGCGGGTCTAGGGACGAGGTTGGGGCAGGTGTGCCAGCAGCGAATATGTGAGCACATATAGTAGAAATAAGTTCAGGGGGATATTGTTGAACGACGGACATAGATATTGTATAGAGAGATATGGATAAGAGATTGCAGGTCAATAGGTTAACAGTGTAGAAAACCTGTAGAAGATGTAAAGCCCAGAGAGAAAGACAGTGGGGGATGGAGGTCTTTTATATAGATCCGGGTTTTAGAATACTTCGGGACTATAGCCGACCGTAGCCGTTATTTACGTAATCCGGGGTAATCGCCAGAACCATTTTTGGCATCGCATCATTATCGCTGGGCTGGTTCCATTGCAGACTCCGGTGAGAATGACAATGCCGGCACAGAATCAGTCATTTTGCTCATCGCGAAAGGCTATCCAATGGGCCAAGCAGCGCCTAAGGAGCACGGTGTGCTTGCTGGAATGTGTGTTTACGTAGTATCAAATGGTGTGCTTTTCATTCGAAATCAGACGTGTAGTACTAAGTATGCCCAGAGAACACTAAATTGAAGGCATGTTCACAGCTGGTGTCATGCTGACGACACATGATCCCTTTTCACATTGACTCATTTACAGGCCGAAGGCAACTTTTCAGGAACTTGAACTCTCCTTGCAACAGATTAGCTTTGTGTCCCCAAATAGTATACATTCTTTTTTATATATTTACGCAAGGTATGAATTTGTGAATCGCAGCTAACGTAATTCTCACTTGTACCACGTTTGAGTTCCTCTACTAGAACGATAGAAACGTTCGCCCCGCTCAAAATTACAGGTTGTCCATATTCTCCGAGGCCGCCATCTCCTCAGCGCCTCCAGTCTTAGTCTACTATAGTATGGTGGTTTTAGCCTTGCCACCCGTGACTTCTGCTGATAAGGTTCAGTTTTTTCAGTGGACCTTCTCGGTCCCACAAGGTCGACAACTCCAGTGGTCACGATGGAACAAGAGTCTATTAACCATCATGTCAACCCTTAAAAGGGAATAAACATCCATCTAGCCGAGCCCCAAGGCGCCGCCTATGGCCATCTGCTTTCCTCCACACCAATTGCACCGAAGTCATATCAGTCACGTTCATTTCTACAGATTCTTCATGCCCACATACACGTGTCTTATTTGGTGCGTTTTTGTTTACTATAGCAACATATATGAGCGCACCAGTCACATTTACGTGGATTTTCCACGAGCCAGCCATGTATTTTCTTTTCTGTTAGCGCTGTCCAGGACCTTCGCTTGAGAATAATCTCGTTTACCAACGTTTGAATAGGAGGCGAGGACTTCTCCTTCGTCAATAATCGAAGAAGTGCAGAATAAAAACCTCCACGGCTATTTTTTCTCTTAAAATCCTGACTCGATTAGTGTTGAATAAACCTCGCAGTGCAGGAATATCGGTGCGCTAGTATGTGATTCACCCCGTTGCGGTCTTCATCATGCCTTTCTCTCCTGCCGTCGAATTTTATCATAAGTGGATCCGAGGTTCTAGATTCTGCTCACTAAACGCCACTCGGCTCTTTTCTCAGAGCATTTCAAGGGCACAAGAAATTCATCATCATCTGACCAGCCTGCCTGTGAAACACACGCACATCCCACCGATTCGGGGTCTTATACGTGTATGTAGACTCATTTCACGACCCTTTCGCACCCTAGCACATCTCAAGCGGACGAGCCTTCGAATCACTCTATTGTGATTGTGTATGAGCAAGGCATGAATGTAATTACCTCAGAAAGCAGGAATACTGCGCTATGTGACGCCATGGTCAAGTCATCAATATATTTGCCACTCGAAGTCCGTTGAACACTCTGGTACCGAACGCGTATTTGAACCACTCGCTGATCACAGGTTAAACGAAGAGCCATCATAATTCCCTCGGGCCTACAATAGTTTTGTCTAAAAAGGTTATTTATTTTCTGAAACTCACAGGGCAGTCTTACTTACCAGGACCTTGGAATGGTGCCGCCGTTACTATTTCTATGGCTCGTTGGCTGCTACAGCTAGTTTTCTCCATTTACGAGTCGGTCTGGGATAAGTTCACGTGTATCTCGTAGCTGAGGCCGAGGAGAACATAAAAGTAGTAGCTGAACCTCGCAGCATGGCAGCGGTTACAAAGTGCGCTATTTTTGCTTTCGTATTGAACTCGGGTGTTGCCAATTTTTGCGGGTTGTGTTCAAATGAACCAGAGATGAGAAATTTGACAAGCAGCAATGTGCCACTTTCTAGATTGTATTGCAATTATAATTAGAGCGCGAGATATAAGATGGATCGACATGTGCATAGTAGCAAGTTCGCAGCAACGCATTGACGATCGAGTAAAGAAGTAGCTAAACCTTTACATAGAACTCGTATTGCTTCAGCATCCATATCAGAGACACAGCTATTCCGACACGTTAATGACTGCGGTCTGATCACGCATTCGAGAAAGACATACTGGAGACGATACACGGGCTCAAAACGGGAACGTTGATTTTTGCGGTGCGGAATATGAAGATTTCAGAAGTGAAATGTCCAAACGCGATGAGGTATGTTATCATAGCCATGTCATACATTCTAATGGGTGTTATTTGAACAGTATGTATGAAGGGCTGTGGATCGGACGTACGTCTTATCATGCATGTGATATGCAGCATACCCGCGGACTACAGCAGATGTCAGAGTCCAGACTGCAAACGTTCTTGCTTGAAGGGAAGTTACTAGAAGGAGGGAGTAACTGGTTCTATATTGGTTTCTGCGACGTACTTTTGCTTGATACTCACCTGTTCCGGGAGAAACTGCACTGTATAGCCTACGTGTGAGCTTCAGTGTGGTGAAGTTCTGAATAGTATTGAAAACGGCCATTGAGGCCACTAAAAGCATCCATTTGGGCAGCCAACCTTCAGTTGCTGGGAGATCTAGCAAATTGTTAGCATGAGTTTCCCAAGCATGACTGGTCATATTGCACTCACATTGGAGGAGCTGAGCAACGTTGGTCATACTGGATATCTCAGTGACTGTAGAGAGAGTCAGGTGCATCTATCCGCCCAGCTGTGTCAGGTCAATATGCATTTTTCGGGTGGCAACTAGGAACGAAGTATTACGTAAGATTTCCTTTCGCAGTATCTATACTCGCGTCCCTGTACAGTGTACGTGATTTTGCAGAGGTCGCCGTTTGCGTTCCAGCAAAGTAAATTTCAGGTCCTGCTCCATGTGACAAGGACGACGAGGACCATGCTAGAAACGTCGTCGCCGTCGTCACGCTCGTCTTCGAAAGCTGCTCGCTCGAACTCGCTGGCGAGTACAGTCAGTAGCAGTGGGGCAAGTCTAGCTCGTCGCGCCCGGACTAGAACTCGAACATGCATTCGAGCGCCCACTGGACCAGCTCGTTCTGCCACCAACAGTCGAGCGAACACTTGGAGCCAAGACGATCAGGTTTTGGACATATCTGCTGCTAACGCTCTGGGACCCACCTCACTGGTCTGCTTAGGCTCGAGTTCACCAGAGGCTGCTAATTCAACGGGGACTACACGTTCTAACCCTGTATCTGCAACCCACCAGAAACACATGCAAAACGGTATCGGAGATACTGTGGGGAGGAGTAGATCACTTTTTTCTCGCACGTCTACGGAAGAAGTTGCTCAGAGTTGTGCTACTGAGAAAGTCGACACGGATGAACAGCGAGGGAGGCGGCTAAAATTTGAGGAATCCGCCGAGATGCGATCTGTACGTTCCATTCGTGCTCTTTCGTTGACTTGAAGCTGATATAGAGCAGTTGAAAGCAAAGCGACGTGTTTCGAGCCTTCCGCGTCTCTCGTTCCCACCATCTGCTTTCGAGTCAGACCGTTCAGAGACGGGTCGCTCTCGTAACCACATACGAGATTCTCTGCTCACTCAACAATCGTCAACAGCGTCTTCAGTTTATCCAATGAGTACATCCACGGATACAGATTCACCGCCGTCCCCTCGCTCGCTTGGCGAAGAAGAATTCGAAGATGCTGTTTCGTCATTTGATCCTGAAGTCCCAGCACAACATGACGTTGATACCGACGACGTATCTTATCGCCTGCGTCTGCTCGTCAAGAACAGTTATTTTCTACCTCCTGCCCATTCCAAACCTTCCCCGTCAGATTTCATTGTTGCCTCACATCCCAAAAAGGCATCAACTCCGACGTTTCTGGATCTATTTCGTGGAAAGTCTAAAACCAAAACAAACCCTGACATGTTCGACAAATCACCCCTTGCCCTGAGGGTTACATCTGATGCTACTACTATATCGAGGCATTCTCCTAGGGAGCATAATCGTTCGACTCAGCCGGTCTTGCGTACAAGTGATAGTAGTCAGGATAGAGTGGGTAGAGTAGTCGTCGTACGTGAAAAGATGGATGATCTTTTGGGTGCAGCAAAGCAGGCAGAGCAGGACTTCAAAGCTCGTGAAATCCGCCAACCTCCTAGCAAAGACTCAAAAAAGGCGACCTACGACGAGTTTGATGGCGTCATTGATCCTACTGATGCGGTTGATGTACCTCTGCCATCCCATGACTATCCTTTTGCTGTGCAGGCCTCGGCGTTTCACGGTCTTGGAATAGAGAACTCACTGGGTGCAGCGCTGCTCGCGGAGCGCCTTCCGCCTCCAGGAAGTCCGGGGATATCGACACTCGATACACGGGAGGATATATGGAGAAAAGCTCTGCTGCAGGCTGCTGTTGGTCACTCGCTCAATAACTCGATCGCATCTGCTTCTGTGGTTGCGTCTTCACCAACCCCAACTAAATCGCGACGACCTCCTCCCCATCCGGCCTCTCCTCTTGCTTCCAAAGGGAAAAATCAGATTCTGGATCAGAAGATTCTGAAAAGACCTATAATCGAGAGCAATGACGAGTCCCTCAGTAAATCTCCTACTTCACCACTTTCATCGCCCACTCCTCGGCACCTCGGGGTTGCCTGCTTATCTACTCCTGATAATCAACGCCTATCGAACTGTATTCCACTTCGAGCTGAGACGCCGATCCCTCATACTCCTCTAGCGCCACCTCCTCGCAAGCCCATCTGCAATCCGTACTACTCTCGCTCCCAAACTGATCTTTCCAGCCCTGGTTTGGGCAGCGAGAGTGCTCGTTCGTCCAGGCCTTCAAAAGTTATTCGCAAGTCCATATCTTCACCTTTGCTTTCAGACGCTTATGGAGCGAAAACAAATGGCTCGAGAATCGCCATGGCCATGACACCTCCCCCTATGCCTGCTCTTAACATCTCACCATCACCATCGGAGTATGTACGATTGTCTACGGCAATGCGGGCGTCGAACCGTCTGAGCCAGATGACTGGTGCATCTCGATATACTGGAAGCGAACAGGATGAGTTTATTGTGCTAACTGATGAACCTCAGCCTAGGCCATCTATGACACTTTCGTTACCTACAACCGACGGCCGCCCTTCCATATCCGAATACTCTCAACCTTCTCCCACCGCTTCAGCCTTTCAAGATCGATATTCTGAAGGTTATTACTCGGTATCTTCACAGCTACGTAAAAGCAATGGGCAGGGCTCGCCACATCGTTCGCGAGAGTCATCTTTGTCTGCAGGCCAGGCGCCACGCTTTTCTACAATGTCACCTCCACCTAGACCCTCATCTTCCGTTGCTAATAATATCATTCTTTCACCGCCACCACTACCTCGATCCACCTACTTACCTTACAAACCCTTACCTTCTCGTATCCCACAGTCTAATTCACCTGTATATTCTTCTCCTGATACCAGCCGTAGCTCCCCACGCTCTTTTGGATCTGCAATTTCTGGTCTATCTCAGAATTTGTCACCACTGACCATCCCACTGGAAAGCTACTCGAGCGGAATTCATTCTGCACCCCCTCCTTCATCTCCTTCCGCCTTTTTCGACCACCTTCAAGGTCATCTCAATGCAATGGACGACCTCGATTCGTCCGAAGACAGTAGAAGCGAAGATGGGCAGGACACGGACGTGGAAGCGACCGCGGTGTACAAGCCACCACCACCTTCTCAGCCCTCGCTTACACGTCTAGGTAATCCCTCCATGCCAAATGTCACTCGTACCATGTCGTCTCCATATTCACACAGCATCGGGCAGTTCAAACCGGTCGGTAATATCCCTCAGCGTCCACAGTTCTTCTCGGATATGAAGGCTTCTCCGAACTTGGTCACTCCTCTGATGCTTGCTCGCTATTCGAAGGATCACCTGCCGAGCAGTGGATCGAGCCCCCGCCGTCGACCGGCGACTGCGGAAGACGAGAGCACGCTGCAGAGGAAGATGATACATGATGATTCCATGAAGAAATTCGACGGCATGTTAATCCAACACATGGAGACAGAGCGCGACACTCTCAAAAGAATTACTAAAACAGCCAAAGTCTCAAAATAGTAGGGAGAGGAATATGGATTTCAATGAGTCTCAATTTTTTTTGGGTTAACAGTTGGTTAACAGCATATTTAATGCCCACAATACTTTGGTTGTTGTTCATACTGACTTGTATCTGCACGCTGTAGATAGCCTAATTTCAATGTTATATACGCTGTGGAGTGAAAATCTGAGTGATTAGACTGGTATGCGCGCTGAGCGCTGCTGCGATGAAAGGCAATTGAGAGCTTTGGCCACGTGGTCGAGTGACGCTGGCTCAGCGTCTCTCGAGTCTGCTCGGGGAGTTCTGACTCCGCTAGTACTGGGCTTTCACCTCTTTCTTTATCACGTCTTCTTTGCTGATTCCTGAAACGACTTTGTTATGGAAAAGAATAACGACCATCAAAAGCACCCTTATTCATGGCACCAGGTGAGCCCGCTCATTATCGATGGCCGTCGAAACTGGCGTTTGGAGCTAACAGGTTTGTGTAACAGTCGCATGATCAGGTGAAGCTCCTACCGTAAGGAACAAGCTTCCAAGTTCCTGATTTTCCATAATTTTCTAGGCGACTGTCTTGTTGCTTGTCCCATACGAGACTTCAAAGGAAGACATTGTTGTAAGCATCGAATTCGCTCTCCTGCAGTTCTACTTACGAACGGCACTTTGCATCAAAGGTCGTCATTGAGCGCAATCATCTTCTAGCAGGAGTTCGAGGTCAGCAACCTATAGTGAAGGTACGTTGTTATTCTATCTACCAGTGACAGCTTCAAACTAACCCGAATAATTAGGGTCGACTCTACAGTAATGTAGATACTGTGAATTCTGCATGGCAACTTGAGCCACGCACCTCGCGGCTCTCTGCTAGGGAACGTACAACGTCTACCATATCAACAGCCTCTACGCAGTCATCTTACGCATTTGTATCTGACCCGGAGATATCTAGCAGCTTTGCTGCATCCCTTGAAAGCGGTCAGGTATCGGATTCAGAGGAGCCAGTTATTTCGTCACCTGCCCTTTCATCACCAATTTCTTCCTCGGCAGATGAACGTGTAGGCCCGGCGGTATACCAAAGGCAGCAAACAGCTAGTTCCGGTCCTGCTTCACCAAGACTTCCAACTCATGCGTTATCATCTTTCTCTTCGCTGGAGTCGTTGCATTCACATTCTGGTAGACTCTTAACGCTGCATTTAGAGAAGGACCAGCCAATTATATGGCCCTCTCTAATTGTAGGTCCTGTTTCAGAAGAACTATCACCTTATGCTCCTATGCCCATACCAAATCAGCTTATTCCTGAACACAAATACAATATGGATCCTACAAGTCTAGTATTGCTCGCAATCGAGTTACATGATATTCGGGAAGATAAAGAAGAAGCTTTCGAATATTTTGTGTAAGTGTTTTATCTTAATTGAATTATTCGTAAAAGCTGTACCTGATATTCCGTGGTTGCAGGCGAGCGTGGCACCAAGCTCACCTCCCTTCCGCAGCAGTGAAACTAGTTGCTTATTATCTTCCTATCCAAACTTCTATGGACCATTATGATCCTGAAAAAGCTAGCGAACGTGGATCAGTCTCTTACTATGTTCACTCCGTGGGTGGTCCATCTGGCTTGGGACAATTATTCATGGAAGCAGGTCTTCTTCATCTAGAAGGAGCAGCGACGATTCTCTTATCGGCTTCTTATTCTGTGTTCTCGTCGATCCGTATCCCACAGCCCCAGTCAGGAGACAGTGGCACTGAAGCTTGGAGACGAGATAGAGAAATGGCGATGCGCTTCTTTGACCGTGCTCGCGTTTTGAATCCAGGACTTGAGATCCCGGTACTGCCTCTTGAAAGCGAAGCCAGTCCCGGAAGCACTCATGAGCTGGAAATGCCGTCTATCGAGGTCTATCCTTCAGCTCCCCAGAGTGTTCATTCTGGAGAAGAGTCCCATCACTCGGAATCAGGGGTTACTATGCGGCGTAGGAGACAAAAGAAAGATGAGCTGATTTTCATGGACGATGTGAAGGCCAAAGACGACATGGACAGTGCATGGTATCTCTATATTCCGAGCTTGGTGGGTGCAGGGACAGCGTTGCTAGTTGTTGGGGTGGTGGGTGCCCTGAGCTTCTCGTCCTGGAGACGCAATCAGGGGTCTTGAGTAGAGCCCATTGGTATAGTTTATGTGGTCCTTCAGTTCTAACCTTGCTGCATGAACATTCGCTGGTTGCTCAGTTTGCTTTGACTAGATACAGCTTTCGTAGTTTTCATGTGTATTCATTACAAGGGGTGTTTTTCAGTGTGTCAGGGGGTCATCTATACTAATATTTTCTTCATGTGCGGGCCCGGTATTATCATTTATGACTCCAATTCGTATCGCTAGTATATCGTGTTGTTCGCAATCGTGGGACTGGAACCTTTCAGACTGATCCACCAGTACAATGCCTCGCGCTATTTGGGCAAACTCATCGGTACCCTCTGACCGCATTCGACCCTCGCCCCAGCCTGCTCAGAACCGACCAAAAAATAAAGGGCAACCCAAGGAGCCACCTAAAAGTAAAGCGTTACGAAAGCTAGAGTCTTTATTGAAGAGCATTCACAATTCGTCTGGTAGAGAGAAAGATCCAGCGCAAGGATGTTTTTGTCAAGGTCTGTCGCAGTGATATATTGTCAATCTTTACTTTATCTTACGAAGACGCTGCTACAGCTCGGAGTCATGACCTATCTCCCTATAATCCAATATGTCGATACTGTGGCCTGATTCTCTGCTTGCTAAATCTACCCAATTTTGCATGTCCACACTGCGGGTCCGATCTTTTTACCCCGTCCACGAAGTTATCTCTCGTTTCTCGCCTTGAAGAGGAGATAACGGAGACAATCGCCAAAGAGGAGGGAGAACGGGAAAAGGTCGTGGAAGAAGCTCGGAAAGCTGTGGGCGCATTCCCAGCTCTATCGGGTGCGACAACTCCAGGAGGATCACCTCTTAATGTTCATACGCCTCGGCCTTCAAGCCAGACACATAAGGTCATGTCTCTAAATTCCAAGACGAAGAAGGTCATCGTTTCGTCCTACACCAGTACGCCTGTGCCATCACGTCCAGTTTCGCGAGCGGAGGAAGAGGAGGAGGAACCTGAAAGGGTTCCAGCACCTCCTCTCGTGCCTAGCTATACCATAAAAAGACCCCCCAATCAACCATGGCAAAATACGAGAGGTGTACAAGCTCAGTATATACCACCTCCAGCGGATAAGACGGTGCAGAGCAATGTGGCTACCAGCACGGAAGGTTCTTCCCGAAGAAGAAGACAGAAGAAGGGTACTAGACCTAACGAAGAGACCAGTCAGGCTGAAGCATAGATAGGAATGGTTTTTTCGTTGATGTTGTGAGCATGTATAGCTGTAATTATTGCATCTTGATATCAGATACCTAGCCATCGATGGAGGGAATGGGTCTGACACGGTGACAAGTTATTCAGACCATTGAAGACTGCGAGGCAATACAACAAGACATAGCATATCACTACTATAAAATACAGATAGCAAATGTGACAACGAAATCGATAGCAATTATTCAAGAAACCAAGAAACCGAAATATAATAACCAAGAAGAAAAGATCGACTCCTGATCTGACTAGACCTGGATGCTATCTGAGATCGTCCGTTCATTTTCTAGATAATATCTGTTGTTGAAGATTCTCCATATCGGCGCGTAATTCAGCTAGTAAGATTTCCTTCTCGTCCAGCTGTGATTTGGCTCTCTCAAGTTTTCCTGAAACTTGCATTAACTTCTCGTGAGACGAGGGTTGACCAGATCCTGGCGGAGGTGACCAGTTAATCAGAGGTCCCGGAGAAAGAGAGCGTGGGGAAGGCGGAAGTGGTATCCAAGACGGGTCAGTCACAAGGGACCTCTCACATTCCTGAGTTGGGGCGATCAAAATCGATGTAGGCTGCAAAGGGGTAGCTAAATCCATGCTCTGCCCGACATCGAAATCATCTTCGATGTGTTCAGGGCTAACAGCACGAATTTGTACCTAAAATGACAAGTAAAAAAACTGCGTGCGGCACAATGTGGCACAGAGCACTTACAGCAGAGGGAGACCGCCCAGACGCCTTTAGCCTTTCAATTTCGTCGAGGAGCTGCTTTTCTCTGGACGTCGCCGCATTCTGACAGTTCTCGAGTTCACGCTGGAGGCATTGAACTTGTGAATCAAGCCTTGTAGATGAGAAAGGTCAAATGGATTCCATTGGCGTTCATATAGAGAGAACTTTTACTTTACTCACCGGATACATTCTTCTTCAACTAATAAAATGTAATCAAAGTTATCTGTAGTTGCTCCATGAGGAATCTGCACCAGAGGTAAGGATCAGCCTCATCTCGACTGTCAATGTAAGAAATGAACGTACCTCTTTATCCCCGTCTATTAGGTCGACGATGGCCGATTTTTCTGACTTCAAAGCATTCATACGTGACCTTAGTGCGGTTATTTGGTTACTCAACTCCCCTATGGTCTGAATATTATTGAGGACAGGAGCTGGGGTCTGCGCATCTCGTGCCGAACCAGTTACAGGAAGAGATACCTGCCTGACGTCTTCTATCGTATTTCCGGGAAGCACAGTAGCCGTAACAGCTATGGTGTGAACCTCCTCGCTAGATTGCTTTGGCTGTGCGGGTGCACTGGTAAAATGGTTTCGTCGCGGGACAGAAGCAGGAGTTGCAAGGGCATCAGCACTCTCTTTTACTTGCTGTGGCTCAGCCTGGTAACGTGAGTCCACTTGCTGAGAGGACGTAGGTACCACTGAACGTGCCTTGTCGAGCTGTGAATACTGGATGAGCTGAGCGAAGAGTATAGGAATAGGATAGGCGCACGCGCTCCAGTAAATCTCGGACCTCCTGCTCCAATGTTTTGTTTTTAGCATCCGCCATAGTTAAAACTTTCAAGCAGTCTTCATCCGTGAGATTCGGTGCAGGCAAACGAGAAGAAAGCCTAGCCTTTGTCTTCCGCCGGGTATCGCTTGTTTGCACACTTTGTGAATGTGTACAACCATGCTGTACACATGCCTCAAGCTCGGCTTCACGAAGGGCAATCTGAGCTTCTAGCTCAACAATGCGATTATTGGCCTTTTCATACGTCTCTCGATGGCCTTTGCGTTCCAGATCGCGTTCTGCACGTAGTTTGGTGATTATCCCAGATGCATATGCAAGGAGCTGTGTATTACATTCTTCTACTTCCTTTCGTTTGTTACTTTGCATAGGATCTGAATAGTATAGATTATATCAGGGGGAGAGTGGGTACTTTATGGTCATTATCGAGTGAAATGAACCAACCAGCAAGGGAAGATATACGCATGCGACTGAAAGGCCACAGACTCATATCATTCGAGACCTCAACTACATTATGGGTGAAGTACATGGATTTAAGTAAATTGGCTCGACCCCACGACACCACTCGGGGAATCTGGCTGAACCCACCTTTCTGAATTAAATGTTCGACAGCATCTTTCAGGTCATCCTTTTCGGTCTCGACAGCTTTGACGTAGTCCAAATAGCGGTCTAACTTGATACTGAGTCTCTCCTTTGCTAGTTTCTCGGAAGAAAGTTCAAGGGCATGCTTGGATTGTAGCGAGTCTAAGGCATCGAAAGTTGCAAGTAAGCGCGCTTGAGCATGAGATGCCTTGGCGTTATAGGCTTCTACCTGGCTCTCCAACCACGTAATCTCAGATAGTGAAAATTTGAACACTAGAAAGCTGTAAGACAGGTGAGATGCTCACTTTTTCGTCCTTTTCTAATATCTGAGCTCTCAAGTCAAATGATGTATCATAGATGGTCTTCCGCGTTCTGTTTCCCATATTTTGTGGTTTGCGGGGATTGTTATACATACAGCGTGCCCATAGAGGTTATGTGGAATAAGACAGGAAAATGTACATAGGCACTGGTAAAGCGAAATTCACACTGCCTGCCATTCTCAGGTTTTAATTAGAGTTCAAGACATTTTCTACCATTTGCAACGGCGCCAAACATAGCATTATGTACTAGCCTATATCTACCTTTGTTGTATATCCGAGTTCACGATGATCAGCAATTGAAGCTAGTTATCTATGCCTATTGGTAGTAATGAAATAAGAAAAAAAGAAAGGTACGCAACTTTTTATGATGGTCATTTGCTGCTGAGGATATGCAAGCACACTGTAGATTGCGATGGAACGTCAGCACAGGTTCAATGGTCACATTGCCATTTGAGAGATCGAAATACTAAATGTTAACGCGTTCTCGTGGGATGGGAACAGGCAGGTTGACTTGGATAGATCAGAAACCTGATACACGAGTCGACGACTTTGCCTGAGACTCCAGACAAGGTTGGAAACTTCAGAGATCGATCCGCAGGTATCGATATTAGATACCACTCGGTCAAAAGCCACTCCCTTTATGCTCATTTTCAATTGCTGCCCTTGCGATGATCATTTGGTTACTGTCATTGTATCTTTACCCGGTCTAGGCTGTCTGGCGCCCTACAACACGCAGGAGCTATATAATGCGAGGTGGATGCGAGCCACTGCTTATCTTCGACCTTTGTCTATAACCACTATACTTGGTGAGTGCACATTGAGCGCATTGATTGATTTATCTAAAATTAAAGAGTCACGTTTAGCTTCGTTACAAGTAGACAATGCTGGACGAAGTTCCCAAGGCTGGGGTCATCGATTACCCCATCGTAGAGGGCATGGCTCTCACTGGAATCTGGGATTACATTCCGAATCCTGACGGTCCTGCCATCACCACAAAGCAAGGATTTCTAGCCATATCCCGTGGCGCAACCTATTCTGAGGACCAAAGTACAGGATTTAGGATTCGACATGCAGTACAAGTCGCAGGTGGTGCCATCTTGCGATTCGATATCAAGTATGAACGCATATATGTATGTTTTTTTTTTTCGCGATCAAGGCATCAGGGTCTGTATTTCTGATTCACTACCGACAGCCAGAGACTGAGGTTAAGCTCACTCTAACCCAGGACGTGATTCTGATTCTGCGTTACTGGAACCACGAGCTTAATTATGTCTCATGGGACAACGGTGGCTTCCGCCACCTAGGACGTTCTACCATCTCCATTAGCAGCACAGAGTACACAGAGGTCATTTCGACCACCTGTCGGATAGTTCCTTAGTTGTGGGGCTGTTTCGGTAGACATCAGCCATGTCCGTTGTGTGCCCCTATTGAAGACTGCGGAAATGCTTATTCGTAGCCTTCAACCTTCCGTCTTGGCTTATTACCCCCTGAAAACCGATGTTTCGGATGCTATCACTTCGAATCCTGCGCTTGGCATGGTTTAATTCATAGAGGTGGTTTCGATGGGTTTGTTCATGCGTCAATCTGCGTAGAAAAGCCCACACCGGCCAGCGACGATGGCTCTATATTGCCTAATGATGACGATGACGATCCCGTTTTCATTAAGGGCGCATTTGGAAACGCATATGACTTTTCTACGATAAGTGGCACGCTGGAACTTCCTTTATTTCCTTATGGGAATTTATTCCAGTCATACACACTCTCGCTCTGGGTCAAGATTGACAGCTCATCGTCTCGATGGGTGGGTTCGTTGGCTCGGAGTATCCCAACAAAGCACTAGACGGTCAGATTAGCGACATCATGTTTTTCAAGCAACATGTACACCACGTCGTTGCGTTGGCCCTTGCCAATAAGCTGGATGATGGAAATTATAAGAGGAAAAAAGTCATTTATTCCCTCATCCCCGCTTTCTTGGCCATTGCTTATGGTGCTATCAGCACGCCTGCGATTATGTCTGCACTCGAGGGGTTGACTGAAGATCCATTACCAAGTCTCCAGAATGTCGTGAACACAATATCGGAGCTTGTTGGAAAGCCTGCGAGGTCGGGTGTCCAGGTATCTCGCAAGGACATCGGCATTAACGAGGAATATCCGATTGTCATCGACGTAGGTGGAGAAGGTCCATTAGATCATCATGGTCTTGCAGCTGGATTTGAAAGTGCGATCAATGTGAATACAAAGGATTACGTTGAAGTTGGCGGTCGGGCATATATCCCGATTTCGAATCTTATTCTGGTGCGGTCGCAGGGATCAGGTCCGGACTCGTACCCGACGTTACCTTTCGCAGACAATTTTGCAGATATTGTCACCATGGTTGGACGTCCTCTTGATCTCCCCACTACAAACGAGATAGTCCGTATAATAAAATCAACGGGTACAATCAATATTTGGACTGATGAGTCATTCCTTCCCTTGCTTGAAGATATGGCGAAGAAGCTCAAGTCGTATGTATGTACACCAAATGGGCTTGATCGCTTTGTGGCAGGTGGAAATGCATTCCCAAAACGCTGGCAGATCATCGCAAACAAGGATGGTAATCACAGTATGTAAATTGGCTCATTCACAAAGTTTCTAAATCAGCTCTATATGTAAAACCCTCTGTTACAACTTACAGGTTCAAATGTTTGAACTGACCCCATGTTCATTAGATCTTGAAATGTCATGTCGAAGAATTTGTCACGCGTGACTAGAGTAAATTCCGTCACAGATATAACCTCGTTATCTCGCTTGATTCTCAGAGTTATCTCTCACCTCTCCGAGTCAGTACGGTTAGCTATATTTCCTTCTCATTACTCCGTCCCTTCAATACCTTTTTCGTTGGGGAGATGGAATGGACTACTTCATTTCTGAACCTACAGGATATCTCCCATCATCGGAAAAGACACGCGCTGATAATCCTCAATCAGCCTTTCTCGCCAGATCTGCTTGAAACATTATGGAATGCTTGTGACTGGCACTGCTGTGCTGACGGCGGTGCAAACCGCCTGTTTGATTGCTTGCAATCACCTTCATTAGTAGACGACGTGGAGGACAAACGTTTGTGAGTATATAAATGTGTGTCTCTCTTTGTCCAAGGAAGGTCGAAGGTTCTGAATGGTGCGTAGTTATCTCCCAGACCTAATAAAGGGAGACCTGGATTCTATACGTTATGATGTTAAAGAACATTACACCTCAAAAGTGTGTCGTATTTTCTTGTTCTGCCCAATTCTCATAATGTCTGCGGTCCTAGGGTGTATGTATAATCGAAGACACAGATCAGTACTCGACTGACTTGATGAAATGCGTGAGCGCTTTGGAAGAGAAGGAAAGAAAAGAAGGTTTAGACGTAAGTGTGCCTTCCAATGCCACATTTCAAGCCTCTGACATATCGAATTCTAGCAATACGTCATCATTTTGCTTGGTGGACTATCTGGACGGCTGGATCAGACGGTTCATACACTTTCTTACCTGCACAAACTTCGTAAAGCTCGAAACTGTGTGTACGCTGTCACAGATGACAATGTTGGTTGGGTCCTTGACGAGGTACGGTGAACCTAGCGACACTAAGGTCTTCCCAACTCATCGGAATTATCTAGGGCGAACATTTAATCAAAATTGACCATGCTGTATTAGGCCCGACGTGCGGACTTTTACCTGTGGGTGTCGGGTCTACTATTTTATCAACCACCGGTCTACGCTGGAACCTAAGTATGTCTACCCTTGACTTTCATGACCAATATTTTGATATCTTAATCTGAAGCTGATACCGAATCTTCTTTCGATGGTTTGGTATCTACGTCCAATCATCTTGTACCTGAAGAGAACACTGTGTGGATAAAAACATCGAAACCTATCTGGTGGTGTGCAGAGCTGAGGAAGACAACGTGAAGCGCGCTGTGATTTTGCCTTTTGTTCTTATTTAATTAGTGGAGCATGTCATCAGTATTATAGTAATATCATCCCGAACTCCAATGGTGGAACAGTGGGAGGCACTGTTGTAGTCCCCCTTTGGCATGGCACTCAGAAGTCAGGTCGTTCAGATCTAAGTATATACTGAACAAGCCGAGACGGCGATTATTCGCGCATTTTCCATAAACGATTGTTTCAAAGCTTTGACTACTACTAGTGCGTCTGAGTCCGAGTCAACTTCTACATGAGCATGAGCCAGATCGAAGTAACCGTTCTCTATTTTGCAGCCGCCTCGACAGCTGTGGGGCTGACTGAAGAGCGTGTGGCTTTACAGCCCTCGTTCCACCTCAATGCACTAGGCGATCATTTGATTTCGCTGCATCCAAATTGCGGATTAGACAAAGTCCTGCAGTCTAGTCAATGGAGTGTCGATGCGGAGATGGTAGAAGATGTGGATCAAGTTGTACTAAAGGGGGGAGAAGAAATCGCTATCATTTGTCCGGTATCAGGAGGCTAGTGTTAGGTGAGGATAAATATTGAATAGACAGCTTTTTACTGAACCTCTCATCGCAGATAGCCAAAGTTTACAAGGGAATCAATATTTCGAGCATGGGCAATATGAATATAGGCCAGGAACCTAGAAACAGCATTGGACTTTATGTTTTTTCACACATGCGACTTATGTGTGCAAGTGAATGATTGTGTTAGGAACGCTTGATCACATACTCACGGTAAAGACAGTACGACTCACAGTGCACCCATGATACTCTCGAGAAGAGATAAAGTCCCAGCGTTCACAGCGAGACGTCTAACGAAAAGCACGTTCCTCATAACAGAATGGGATGATATATATTCCGAATATCCATTCATCTACGCGAAACTCGTACCGTCTACGAACACTATACTTATCTTAGATACGGGGTGTGGAGGAACAACCAACAATCCCGACATCGACGTCAAGGATTTGCGAGAGTTTATCGAGACAGTCGGGGTGGCTGATAATGATGGCGAACCTCTGAACGAAGGAGGGTGTATGAGATACGTCGTAGTGCAGAGTCATTGTCACTACGATCATATTTGTAGGTTCTGCCACTATTATTGATACAGCTGCTCTGAATCATCACTGTAGTGGGCATGAAGTCGTTTGCAGCCGATTCCCAAATCCTTGCATCATCACATTCCCCGTCCTTTTTATCTCCAAAAAACTTTCCCGAGAACTCCCTTTGCAACGCTTTAGGTATTCACACACCATCTTACCCTTTCAGGCTCGTGCCTCATCTCCACCAAATTGTTTCTGGAGACCAATCGAATGGTACTGGTACACCATTGGGAATACAGGTGTTGCATACGCCTGGTCATACTCCAGATGAACTTGCACTCTGGGATGACTCGGAGAAAATGTTGTATGTGGGAGATACTCTGTACGAGTACGACAACATAATATTCCCAAACGAAGGGTCCATCGTAACTTGGTTCTCCACCGTGGACTATCTCATTTCGTTCGTTCAATCTCATAGTGAGGCCTCTCGGGAATGTCCAGCAGCATTGGTGGATGTCAGAATTAACTGTGGTCACGCCACCGCGTGTGGGCCAGCTTTGGAAGTACTTCAGTTGACGAGGGATTTTATGATGGACGTCGTTTCAGGAAGAGAGAAGGTGCAGAGTAGAATAAGAAAGAGGGGTGCATGGACAGTACAATACAGGCAGAGTGGAGGCCGTCTTGCATTAACATGTCCTGAACAATTAGTGCTGGAGGCAAGAAACAAAATGTTGTCAGTATAATGTGTATACACGTGGATTAAAAAGAATGTGATGGGTACTGACGAGCATGAAGCAACCTCATTTGCCTTGTAACATGTCTAGCTCTAGTCGAGCCAAGAAAGCATCGGCAGCATTCTGAGGCACGCTTCTAACTTTCTCCTTTCCTTTACCTTTCGGGGAGGGTATTGTGGCTTGCTTTTCTATCGAAGCGAAGGGATCGCTGGACGGTACTTTTGAGGTATTTACCGATGATGGAATCCTTTGCTTGCCATCTGATTGAGAAGCGTCGATGGCGGGGGGGGCCTCATCTGCTACTTTCAATTTCCTCCTTTTTGCATCCAGCAATTTCCTTCTCTCTTCGATTTCCCTCTTCCGCTTCTCCATCGCTCGGCTTTGTACTCCAGTCTTACTACCACTTTCACCCTCACGCATCCCCTCCACTTCACCAGGACGCAAGTTTGTAGCGCCCATCTCCTGCCTAGTCTTCTCCGTCTCCACGCGAGCTGATTTGAGCTCTTCCATTTGTTGTTTCCTGGTTTCTTCGTCGCCTGAAAACTGATAGAAACCAGCGCCTTTTGCTCGAACCTCGTTCGAGGCGTCGTAATGAACATTGAGAGGGTTATTAGCATCAGAAAAAGCTTCTTGGACGGCTTCTATGCGCTCAGCGGAAGGCTCGTAAACAGGGAAAAAATTGACGGGATTTCCTAAAATGTTGGATCAGCCAAAAGGGAAGATGTGAGTGAAACCTTAATATCTCACGTATGACGTCTCTGAATGATAAGCGACAATCAATGGAGGCTCAATAGGAGCAAAAATGATTGAACATACTCATCATCGTCAGGATTTAATTCGGCATTTTCAGAAGGAAGGAGATGACGGGGAATTTCTGAGCGACGCCCTGTACGAATACGGCCAAATTCATCTTCATATTCTATAATGGGATCATCCTACATAATCGAGTTAGCAAAGAACTGCACCTCCAACAAACCAAGCATGACACTAACTGCATTCGATTGTGTAGGTATGGTCAATGATTCGTCTACATCATCACTGTCAGATTCGTAAGAGTCCCCTAAATCCTTTTGATCAAACTAAAGAAGTGTAAGTATTACTCTAAACGAGAGGAGATTCTTTTACTCACATCAACGAGAAGTGCATCATATTGTTTATCGTTGAGACCACCGGACTTGCCCTTCCGTAGCTTATCGTATATCTTTGCTTTTCTTTCCAAGACTGCACGCGCTGATTCAACCGTTACTTTACTGATTTCCTCCAGCTCTATGTCACGCGTTGCACGAGTGTGAACACCTTTATTTGACCGTGCCCATACAGTGGGTTTCTAAAGACAATAATATATCAGCTAGATGAACAGAGTGAAGCTTAAGTAATGAAATGCCTTGTCCGGCCTTGCGAGGCCTCCAACTAATTCTGCAGCTTTTCCCGCAGCCTTGTTCTTCTTGAACTCTGCCTCATGTTTCGCTAATTCTGCTTTTAAATCAAAAAAAGAGCTTGCACTGACGCCTGACGCCTTAGCTTTGTTTGTAGGGGCCATTCGGGGATATATTGAGTAACCAACTGTAATCGTAATCCTGTCAGAACATAGCAAAGAAAGCTAATGAGAATTGATACCTTAAGGACTATATCCGAGGAAGACAAAAGCTTGCGGATTCCAGAGCCTCAAACGTGGACGTCATAAAATCAACTCACGTGATCTCATCGCGTATGACTCACGATACTATCACTATCTAACGACGAGGACCAAATTTGAAGGGAAAAAATGTAGTTCTGATCAAGTTTCGACTCCTCTGACTAACTAATAGTCCTTATCATGCAGAGACAAGATAGATATCATACACTGTGCGGTGACAGTCATACAATGAACAGAGCTGTCTACATATGATTGTACATAAATTTTACACTCTCCATCGATCTGAAGGCAAGTTGACTAAGGTGTGTCAGGTCCAATGTAACAGATAAAGCCTAATTGATAGATTCGTTTCCGAGGAAGATGTGAATGAGTGCGTAATAACAATATGAGCGACGAGAATCGTATGATGTAGTGGCGACAACGGAACGATCGTTACATGGACACATCTACTTGATTTTCGCAAACCTTTGTGACCCATCATCAGTTTATTTTATGCAGTATCGGAGAAGAAAGACAGACGTTGCATCAATTTGTGTCAACTGGGGTAAAGCGAGCATTATCTTGCGCCTATAGTTCGCACCTTCAGCTTCTTGGCAAGGGTTTGCTTCTAGGTATATCGTTTCGAGAGTGGAAATAGATTTGAGCTGCTGCTCTAGACCTTGAAGGTTAGGTATCTTGTTGCCGTTCAGCTAATAACCAAGTCAGATGCTAGTCACTAATGAAGGAGGAGTTGATATCGGGATCCGTACCCATAACTCCTCGAGGACACTCAGGTGAGATATATTCTCGATTTTTGGAACGAAATTGTTCCCCAAATCTAAGGTTTTGATTTTTTTCTACATGCATACGCATACTCAAATTCCGATAACGATATATATGCGCAAGTGGTTAACTTACATTATGTTCCAGGCCTTCTAGCTTTTCTACTCCATTGTGGCTTAAGTATAATTCTTCAAGGTCTTCGAGTCCTTCGAGTCCCTCTATCTTTGTGATACGATTGGATTGTAATGATAAAATTTTGAGACGCTTGAGATTTCCGAGGTTCTAGCACACATATTTAGTGATTGCAGAATACGGAAACAAAATAAGGATACTGACCTCAAGCTTCACTAGCTTGTTCTTCCCAAGCCATAATTCTTCAAGGTTAACTAGTGTATCGAGATTCTCAATTGTCTGTGCGCAGTAATTTAAGGACAAACTCCAAATGATACTTTAGCTAGCATACCCTTATTTTGTTTCCGCCTAATTCAAGGCTTCTCAGCGTGGCCCCTATCGACTGCAGACCAGTTATCTTGGATATTCGATTTTGAACAAAATAAACGGTTTGGAGAGAACGAAGGTAAGAAAGAGTGTCTGGGACGCTTCGGAGAAGATTGAAAGAAAGATCAAGAGTTCTAGGGACCAATGGACATGAATTCCAGTATTATGAACGAGTAACGTGACAAACATACGTGAGGTCGGATAGCTTATTCAGAGCATCTCCAACTTCCTTGATTTTATTATCATATAAGTCGAGTTCCTCGAGCTTAGTGAATAAACTAAAGACTTCGGGGTCCAACTGTGATATTGCATTCTGCCGCAGAGAAAGCCTCTTCAGGTGAAGAGCAAATCGCTCTAATCGGAGATTATTCAAAGAACTCAAACGTGCATGAATGAGTTCGAGTTCCTGCCACACAATCCGCCAAATAATGAGCCTTGATATCAAGGATGGTCGGGGGTAAGTGGAGATCAGGATATATACCTCAGTGTCATCTGGATAATCTTCTAGAAAATCACTGTTGTCTTCCTGACCCTCTTCTTCTGGAGACTCGTCCGTGTCTTCATGAATTCGATCTACAGTGTTCGTGTCGTTGCCAGTGGGCGGTAGCGCGACTCGCGCAGTGGGCCTGCCGTACATCTCAGGGAAACAATTTGAGCAGGGAAGCGCCGACTGCGCCGGCATACTGTAATGACTCAACCGCCACTTGTAGTGAACCACGTTGTTACTTACTCACGCCAGTTTCTATTACCCGCTCGCGCCACATTCCTTATTCTCTCAAGCCGAGTCATAATCTGACAGTCACTACTTTATAGTCATTCATTGCCTTCCTGTTTAGACTTGGGTCACTCTCATTTTTGTATATAAAGGACTTGTATGTTTTAGACAAGCCCCAGTTGATTCCGAATACATCAGTAGACTTTACACTGTGATTCAGATTGACTTGAGAGCTCTCTCATCCTCCCATCTACTTCTTGTGATGTTCCGGGTGCCCATTACATCTTTTTTCACAAACCATTGTCTATCCCTCCCCCCACTCTTTGTCACAACAGGACCTTGACTTGATCAACCAAGACCATCCTGTTCATTGTCATGCACCAAAGTTGATTGGTAACATGGACAGGTGTCAATAACGAAGTGAATATTCAAAAGACTCATCTCTGCGCCACACAGGCACAGTGCCATGTGGAATAGTATTTAATATTGTCTTTTTTGAACTTGTGGCTGATCAGCACCCGCCCTATTAGGCAATCAAGTTGCGCTCACCTTTGCTTTCCATTCAGTACTTTCTGCATTTCAGCATTTTGGCAATTTTTTGCATCGCCACTGGCTACAAATTGCATTGTGCCCTCGCTTTCATTGTTTCCCTTACTCCCCTTCCTTTTCCTAGCCGCAGTATGGGCCCTTTACTGTCTTTTTTATTCTCACCAGACGGCCGTTTCTGGATCCCCATCTTAATCCACTTTTTTGTCACCTCTTCGCTCCTCCTACTCATCTTACTTGCCCCTCCACCACACCTAATGTCACCGCTCTCCATTTGCTTCTGTTGCTGATCCGTTGACCACCACGTGCTACTGCTAATATCAGCAAAGCCCCAGCGGCCTGTCCAAATTGGGCAACAGGTCCATCTTCATAACGTCGATCTTCCATCATATACTATCAAATCATTGGTCACTCGTCTTGCCTGGCTGGAATGCGGGTGGGTAGTTTTTGAGTTGGATCTTCCATCATATACTATCAAATCATTGGTCACTCGTCTTGCCTGGCTGGAATGTGGGTGGGTAGTTTTTGAGTTGGAAAAGGTCCACCCTCTTGCGTTGCCCATGTAAATTGCTGTCCCATTCACTTGGGTACATTTATCCTTTGTCTATCGTCTTCGCTACAGCTACACTTACCACACACTGCCTGGGATAAATCTGTTCCAAATTGGAACTACTCCTCTCCCTCCCTTGTTTGACCAGGTGGTCCAATACAACCAGACCATTGGTAAGGCCATGGAACCGTCAGATTTGGACTAGGTGGTGAACCAGTGGCTCCAGTTCCTTTTTTTTCAGCAGAACATTCATTTGTAGTGCAATTATTCTTGATTTTTGAATCATTTTTATGGACACATACTTTTTTAGAATGCCTGACTGACAACAAGGGAACTGTGTTGATACTGATGATATTTTTGCCTTGTCTTTTTTTGCATATTCCTATGACATTATGATTTTCTTGTTTTTATTATTATTATTGGACTTTATTTTATGGCTGTACAAACCTGTGACATTACATACACAGGATTTGTTGTTCTATCCCTTTTGTTACGATCTCTATTGGACATTTAAGGACTACTCATTTCTTTTTACTCATTGGTTATACCATCGGACCGATGACTCATTTCCTTCACGTACACTTCCGTTCCTCTCACATTCGCAGTACCTATTATAGTACTTAGTCCTCAATGGACGGACCTGCCCTAGATAGGACCTAACTTCTATCACCGATTCCTTTCCATTATAAATACCATGTAACAGCAGTAGTATTCTCCAATACAATTCTACGCAGTTTACGCTCACAAAGCTAGACTCCTAAGATCAGACTTCTACTCAGAAGAAGACCAACTCTCGTTGGAAGAACTCTACTCAGAACTATGTTCTTGAACTTGTCTTCGGATAAGTCTCTTTACAAACCTCAACGAACCCTCAGACTTTGTTAAGCACTTTATGCATAACACCTTTCCCCCCCTTATTTTGACAATCTTATCCTGTACTACCTACACAGGATTTGTCAGTGTATATTCCTTCCTTCACATTCTTTCTTATTCTTTTTGCATAGTTATACTGTGCATAGCCTCCCTTTCTTTTACTATATAAACCCCTGTATTATACCTTGTAAAAACAAGAAATCCAATTCAGATTTGTCCTCTAATCTCAAGTCCACTTCCTACTGCTATTTGTGATCCAGTGTGGTCACAACACTTTCCACTGCTACCACTGTTAACCGCTGTCATACACCAAAGTTGATTGGTAGCATGGACAGGTGTCAATAACAAAGCGAATATTCAAAAAGACTCGCCTTTGCGCCACACAGGCACAGTGCCACGTGGAATAGCAATCCAGTCACGCTCACCTTTGCTTTCCATTCGGTACTTTCCGCATTTCGGCATTTCGGCAAATTTTCGCGTCACCACTGGCTACACATTGCATTGCGCCCGCACTTTTGTCGTTTCCCTTACTCCCCTTCCTTTGCCTAGCCCCACCATGGGCCCCTTCCTCTCTTTTTTATTCTCACCTGATGGTTGTTTCTGGATCCCCATTCTAATCCACCTTTCCGTCACCTCCACCCTCCTCCTCCTCAACTTATTTGCACCCCCACCATTTCTGATGTCACCACTTCCTATCCGCTTCCGTCGTCGATCCGTCAACTACCACATGCCACTGCTGATATCAGCAAAGCCCCAGCGGCCGGTCCAAATAGGGCAACAGGTCCATCTTCATGACGTCGATCTGCCATCATATACTATCAAAACATCGGTCGCTCATCTTGCCTGGTTGGAGCGTGGGTGGGTAGTTTTTGAGCTGGAGAAGGTTCATCCCCTTGCATCGCCCATGTTCATCGCTGTCCCATTCACTTGGATACACTTATCTTTTGTCCATCGTCTTCGCTACAGCTACACCTACCACACGCTGCCTGGGACTCACTTGTTCCAAATTGGGACTACTCCTCTCCCTCCCTCGTTTGATCAGGTGGTCCAACACAACCAGTCTATTGGTAAGGCCATGGAACTGTCGGATTTGGACTAGGTGGTGGACTGGTGTCTCCAGTTTCTTTTTTTTCAGCGGGACATTCATTTACAGTGCAATTATTTTTGATTTTGAATCATTTTTATGGACACATATTTTTTAGAATGCCTGACTGACAATAAAGGAACTGTGTTGATACTGATAGTGTTTTGCCTTGCCCTTTTTTTACTGCATCTTCCCATGACATCATGATTTTCCTGCTCTCTTTTTGCTATTGGACTTTACTTTATGGCTGTACAAACCTGTGACATTACTTACACAGCATTCATTGTTCTATCTCTTTCTTTTCCTTATTTTGACGATCTTATCCTGTACTACCTACGCAGGATTTGTCAGCATACATTCCTTCCTTCATATTCTTTCTCATTCTTTTTGCACAGCTATACTGTGCATAGCCTACTTTTCTTTCACTATATAAACCCCTGTATTTTACCTTGTAAAAAAAAAACAAGAACTCGAATCCAGACTTCTTCTCTACTCTCAAGTTCACTACTCTGCTACTTGTGATCCAGTGTGGTCACAACACTTCCCACTTCTACCATTGTTAACTGCTGTCATCATCACTCGTCACTTTTGAAAGTGATTGTCATCCCCTTCGATTAGAGTCCTTCTGAGCACTACAATTTGTGCGTCAGGAGCCTGCTATCACTGGGAACCTCGTCACCTTGTCATCCTCGTCATTCTCAAACCTACCTTGTGCTACAATTAGCAAGGTAGTGCTCGTCTATACTCGCCACAAAGCCCCTATCCTTCTATAAATTCAACTATCCCTCCTCCTCAAAACCCACACTCATACACCTCTGGGTTTTACTTTGAAGGATCTTTATATGTACCACCCCACGAACAACCAGACCACTCCACTGTTCTAGGAGGCAAAGCCCATAAACAAGTTCCGTGGAATCTGGGAGGATTGTGTGTTAGTTTGTTTTTGTGTGTGGTTTTCTAACTGCAGTTCTCATCATCGACAACGCCTTTTGAGGCGGCACATGGTGCCAAACCCGATCTTGCCGGACTACACAAATGGGGCTGCAAAGTGCTCATACACAACTCACCCGGCTCGAAGCTCGAGAGCTGAGCCAGGATAGGTTATTGGGTTGGTTTCGATACTGAAAGCCTTGGACATCGTATTTACTGGCCTGAAAAGTGTTCAGTCACTGTTGAGCGCTCAGTACATTTTAATGTGGCAAACACACCCCTGATTAATGACGACGACACCCCCTTTGGTCTTGAGGGGGAGGGTGAGGCTACAGAGCACATACAAGCGCTCAAAGGACATGAGCTCATCAACATAGACATACCTGACATGGGTGACGATGCACCTCATAATGCACCTGGCCCCATTGATCCGCCTAATCCCCAAAATGACCCACATCCTGCACAACCCCCTCCGGTTCTTCCACAAATAGCCCCTCGTCGCAGCACACACCTTCGTCAGCCGACCCAATACATCTGTGATTTACTACAGGGAGAAGGATCAATAACCGGTACCAATCACATACAAGCCTTACCAAAAGGAATGCAAAAACCCACTAATGATGAGGTGCACGAACAGGCAGAAGACGAGATTGCAGATGAAGAATTGAGAGAATTGGCAACTAATGTGGCTATGATAGCTCACATGGTGAATCTTGATGGTGTCGAACCGAGGAATGTTGAAGAAGCCAAGAAATGTCCTGATTGGGACAAATGGAAAGATGCAATCAGCGAAGAATTAGACAGGCTTTGGATGGCAAAAACGTGGACTTACATTGATAAACCTAAAGATGCAAATATCGTAGGGAGCAAGTGGGTGTTCAAAGTTAAGAAGAACGCTGCTGGAGGAATCAATAAGTATAAAGCCAGACTCGTTGCACAGGGCTTTAGTCAAGTCGAAGGAGTCGACTATTTCGACACTT